AAAAAGGGCGCCATTCTTGGCCTCAAACGGCGGAGACTTTCGCTACTTCATTGCGAACAATCCCCACCCAGGAGGGGTGACCTGGGGTGGGCTGAAAATCTAACTCCCCCTTCCTGTCGGGTGGGGAAAAACCTGGAGGACTGGGCGACATCCAACCTTCCAGTGGGTTGCAATGATATGCTCAATGATGCCACTGCTTATTGCCAGTACTATGGCCTTGCTCAAGTTGAACTACAATTGCCACAGTCTGGCCTTGCTCAGTTTGAAAGGAGGCAACAACAATGGTGCTGCAAAAGCGCCTTGTTTTGGCACTTGCTATTGATTCCAAAGTTGAGTGTTGACTGGGAGTTGGGCATCTCATCGATGAGCGGGGGCAAAGATGTAACATTTCCATGTTATGGGGTCGTGGCATTCCTGTTAGTTGTGCTTGCTGTAATACTTCCAAGAGCTTTCAAGATTCCAAGTACACTGGCGGAGCGATAATATGAAGTCAGAAGCCCTTCGGTATCACTGTCTGAAGCCGCATCACCTGGGACAAAAAGGTGCTGAGCAGGCGAGATTTTATGGAAGGCGATCCAAAATCGGTGCCATGCCCACCCGGCCCCGTCTCCACTGAGGTTGTGACTAGCCAAGATCTTCTCGCCCAGCGGGCAGCGCTTTTATAGCACATCTTCTTTGCACGCGCTTCTTCAACACCAGGCGCTTTTCCAGCACCATTGCGCGGGCGCTTCCTCAGCACCAAGCGCTTTTCCAGCACCATGTTGCAGGCGCTTTCTCAGCACCAGGCGCTTATCCAGCACCATTGCGCGGGCGCTTCCTCAGCACCAAGCGCTTTTTCCAGCACCATGTTGCAGGCGCTTTCTCAGCACCAGGCGCTTATCCAGCACCATTGCGCGGGCGCTTCCTCAGCACCAAGCGCTTTTTCCAGCACCGTGTCGCAGGCGCTTTCTCAGCACCAGGCGCTTTTCCAGCACCATTGCACGGGCGCTTCCTCAGCACCAAGCGCTTTTCCAGCACCATGTTGCAGGCGCTTTCTCAGCACCAGGCGCTTATCCAGCACCATTGCGCGGGCGCTTCCTCAGCACCAAGCGCTTTTTCCAGCACCGTGTCGCAGGCGCTTTCTCAGCACCAGGCGCTTATCCAGCACCATTGCGCGGGCGCTTCCTCAGCACCAGGCGCTTTTCCAGCACCGTGTCACAGGCGCTTTCTCAGCACCAGGCGCTTATCCAGCACCATGTCGCAGGCGCTTTCTCGCTGGATTTTCCAGCGCCACTAAGCACTTATGCCGCACTCTCTGTCTATGCTGCTGTTGCAGCGCCTGCTTGTCGGCCCTCTTGTTGCAGCGCCATCTCCATCGCGTCTCTGCAGCGCCTTTTAGCTTCAAAATATCAAAACAGTGTTTTTTCCTTTCCAATGCCTGCGAATGGGGCGCTTGACACCTTGCCGCGAGCAAAAAGAAAGCACGAGGGTGTCTTTGTTTTGGACGTCATTTTGCGGTTCGCCCTGCCCCCCCCCCACCCTGCCCACACACTGTCCTCAGCCGGGCAGCCAGGCCGGCCAGGCATTGTCTTGCGCAGTGATTCCCTAGAAGCCCGCCAGCTGAGATTGGCGTTGCTTTGTTGGACAGCTTGCGAGGTTTGATTTGACGCAATCCTTATCAGCATTTTGCGCAGTGATTCCCTAGAAGCCTGTGTTGCTTTGTTGGACCATTTGCGAGGTTTGATGCTTTTCGAAAACTTCCAGCTTTGCTAAACAAATGCATGTTTTAAGTCTTTGTGGCCGCCTACCAGAAACACATTTTTGAAAACATGAAACAGCCGCATTTTAACTAATGTGGTAGAGTTTTCGGAGGATCATGATCCGGAGGATCCTGGAGATGACCGTGGAGATCAACGTGGAGATGAGAGACAGATGGAGGAGCAAGCTCCGGAGCTGGACAAACCGGTTCCGGCTGTCGTCTACCCCTTTCCGTACCCAGGAGTGGTTCCTGCATCATCAGGTAATCCAATGCTGAGTTGGAGTCGTTTGACATCAAGGAGGAGCACAGGTGGACTGGAGGTGCCTGAGAGAGTTGCAGAGGATGACGTCGAAAGAGTTGACTGGAGGAGAAACGCCCATCCCGAGGCTGCCGGAGCTGTCCGGAGGAGCTGAGACCCCCAGAGGAGAGACCCCCAGGAACAGGCCCAGAGGAGAGAACCTGGCAGAGGTGAGAGGGGAGCCGTCGGAGAGTTCAGGGTCACGGCCAACGGAGGTAGAGATGAAGGCTCGTTTGGAGGCAGCGAAAGGAGCAATGAGGAGAGCCTTGTCAGAAGGTCATGTTGGTCGAGAAGCACAACCGTCCAAGAGGAGGATCTTTGAACCCTTGAAGCTTGACGACCGGAATTTGGAGGTGATGCTGACTCAAGCAGCAGCTCAACAGCATCCCCTGCTACAGGTGACGGACATGGCGGCCAAGGACGTCAAGGAGGCGGTATCTGCGGTGGAGGATCATGGAACACGGGATGGTTAGAAGCGTGGTGGAGCTGTTTCAGCGTTTTGGATGGACTTTGCCTGCTGGAGGAGCTGAGCACGAGACGTATCAGGCGGCAGTGGGCAAGGAAGAAAGATGGAGTGCAATGAGTGAGGAGATGAAGAGCCTGTATGGAGACGCTGCTCAGGACCAGTGGAAGAAATGGCTGGAGAATGAGGCAGTGGAGGTTCTTAGCCCATCAGCTTCAAAGGCGATCAGTCATTGGAGCGAAGGCAGGAGATAGAACGAATCCTACAACCAAGGTTCGTGCTGACGGACAAGAATACATCCTTGAGAACCGAAAGCAGCCCCCTTCCGGTGAAGGCCAACGCTCGGTTGGTGGTGCCAGGATTCAAGGATGTGGAGAATCTTCGAGGTGAACTACGTCGGGATGCACCCACGGCATGTGCTCCTGAGTCTGGCAGCATCGAACCCATCCTGGGCACTGATGAGCGCAGATGTGCGATTTGAAGGGAGACAAGTATGTCGTGCGAGAATTGTGGTCCTTGCATCCCGATCCCTGCGGGCTGCCTGGCGAAGGTCAAGAAAGGAGTCTTTGGACTTGCGGATGCGCCAAGGGCCTGGTGGTTGAGGTTGTCGAGGTCCTTGAAGGAGAGAGGATGGCACAGAAGTGTGTTAGATGGAGCTCTCTGGTACCTTAGGGACAAGCAGGACCCGACCCGAGCAATCGGAGCCATAGTTGGTCATGTGGATGATTTGCTTTTTGCAGGCAATGAGGAGGCGAAGGCGTCGCTCATGGACCCGGGAGAAGAGCTAGGATATGGTTCGATTGAAGAGGAGGATTTTCAATGGTGCGGCAAGCGGATCCGGCGATGTCCCGAGACCAAGGAGATTTGCATCAGCATGGTCCAGTACCACGAGAACCTCAAGCAGGTCCACGTTCACCGAGCTAGGAGGCAAGATCTGGAGTCGCCTTTGAGCCCACCGGAGAGGAAGCAGCTCAAAGGAATCCTTGGTTCCCTGCAATGGTTGGTGGCACAGCTTCGTTTTGACCAAGCATTCGTGGTTAGCAGTTTGCAAAGTGAAAAGCCGTCGGTGAGCACCATGTTACGGGCGAACAAGGCGGTGGAGGACTTCAAGAAGGATAAAGGCTTTGAGTTGAGGTTTCGCAACGTGAACTTCCAGAACGGAGGCATTGTGTCGGTGTCTGATGCTGCCTTGGGAATGTGGATGAGCTTGGGCGAGTCACGCCCCTTCCGGAGGAGAAGGTTCACTCTCAGTCATGCTATGCTGTTCTTTTAGCGGATGAGAACTTGGTGCAGGGCAAAGCTGGAAACTTCAACCTGTTGGACTTCCGTTCGCACAGGATCCCGCGGGTGTGCAGGAGCTCGTACTCAGCGGAGACGTTGGGCGCGGAGGAGGGCCTGGACTCGGCTGAACTGGTGAGAGGGTTCATCGCCGCAGAGGCGTGGACGTGTCCAAGAAGGATGCATTTCTGCGGATTACCGCAGTTCCCCTGGTTGGAGTGACGGATGCCAAGGACACCTACGACCAGGTCACGCATGACACAGGTTTTGGGACACAGAAGAGTTTGGCTTTCACCATTGCGGCGCTTCGTCAGCAACTTCGGCGTCCCAACGGAGTATGTCAAGCAGACTTCCAAGAAAGCCAAGGCAGGCGAAGCAGCTGAGGATCTGCCCGGCAGGGCGGTTGGTGAGAATGACCGTGGGTTGCTGGAGTTTGTCTTCAGGCATTCTGAGGAACCCGGATGGCACTTCGTGGATGGCATCGGCATCAACGTGTCCCGAGGAGCCAAGAGTATGAGAAGCCCTCAGCCCCGGCTCGCTGTCAAGGATTTCCCTCTGCGGACATCGATGGGCGAGTTCTTGAAGCCAGATGGACGATGTGAATGGAGGCTGTTGGAGGACAGCCAGGACATGTTGGAGCTTCCGAACCCGAATGAGCAGATGGCTGTGAGGGCGAGGAAGTTGGTGACATTCTTTGTAACCCGTCCAAAGGCAACAATAAAGTAGAGGGTATGTGAAACAGCCCATCTTGCCTTTGGACTTGCATGCATGATAAGTCATCATGATCAATTGACATCATGAACCGCAGCGCCTGAGCCTCAGGGCATCGGAACGCGGAAAATACGCGGGGCTCTTTTGCATCTAAGACCCTCGTGTTTCCTCAAAGACTCTAACAACAATCATGGAAGCTGACAGGACTGTCTTGGAAGACGACTGTTCTGTTACCCTCCCCTTCCACTCCATGATTGCTGGAAAGAGGGTGGGCCAGCACCTCTTTATTGCTTGAGATGCCTTGCGTGTTTCTTTTTGACTGTTACGGGCGCATTGGCATCACTGGCCACAACCAATGTGGATGGCACTGAAGATACAAGGGGGTGACCGCAAAAAAGACGCTCCCAAAAGCAAGAACTGGCCACCACAAATGTGGTTGGCACTGAAGATACCCGGTGACCGTTGGCCCCAAGAAAGACACAGACCCATTAGCACGACAAGCCATCGGTCAGGTGCTTTGCCTCTGCGATAGCGAAGCGCTTCTTGGGCAGCGGCGAGCGGAACGGGCGGAACGGGCACAACGGGCGGGCGGAACCATCAGCTGGGCCTTAGCTTTTCGGGGCTACGTCTCACTTGGGCCGTAGGGGTTGACGGGAATAGTGGTAGAATAATGTGACCTTGGAATACTTCAGTGGGGATGTGACCGGTTTGGGAGGCTCGGAACACTCCAAATGGGGAGCTCTTATGTTTTGTTGAGACCCAGCATCATGTACTGGAGCCTGTCATTGGTCCTGCCAAGAAGGGACGTTCGTTGGGCTGGTCCATTGCGTTGCTAGTTGCTAATTGGAAACGTGTGGGAATTTTCCCCAAAAAGTGAAGAGACGAGTTTGATCGAACCAAAGACCAACCCTTTGAATTGGCCTCAATTTCTTGAGACCCATGCGACATCCGGCATTTTCTTTGGACCCTCCGGGAGTCTAAAATTCAATGACCCAATTCGCGCTCTTGGAACAGGAAGGTCTGCAGAGGCTGGCGAAGTGTGCAGATGGGTTTGCGCACGGATCAACACATCCAGTTCAGAACGCTCTCAGGTCCTCTGCTGTCGACAATATCCACAAGCTGGCGCAGAAGTGACCTTGCTGCAACGGTTTGTCTCTTCCTGTCCGCTCCAAAGCCACCCTTGGCCACTTAGAACATCAGAAACCCCACAAGTCCAAGCCGCCAGGCCCCACAAGACCGCCCTTATTTGGCCGGGCCCTGTTATGCAAGTCCAAGTTGGCCAGAAGTTGGCTAAAGGAATTCTTTCCGGGGGAGTCTTTGGGTGCCTTCGCCCGGCATGAGCTCACTAAAGCTGCCTGAGGGAGCAGCGGAAGGTTGTGCAACTCGCCCGGGAGCTCAGAACCGGACGCCGTGTCCGATTGGGGCCTTTGATGCTTTGGGCTGATCTGATTGGCGTCTTTGGGCTGAGAGGACTTGAGTCGACCTTCGTAAAGAGGACGGGCCAGAGATGTGGGTCAACCGAGTCCACAAACCCGCTTTGACCAAAGGACTGGATATGCGGCCTTCTGCTTGCACAAGACATTTCCGTTTCTCAAAATAGCAACTTGGAATGTGTTGAATTGCTTAGCGCCGGCTTGTTGTCCAGCACCGGCTCGGGCAAGGCACGGGTTAGTTGGTTGGTTGGTTGGTTGGTTGGTGGGTGGGTGGTTGGTCGGTCGGTCGGTTGGTCGGTTGGTTGGTTGGTTGGTTGGTTGGTGGAGTCAGCTTGTTTCTCTTTAGGGCGTATTTGTGGACCCTTTCATTTAGAAGGCGTGGGAATCAGGCTTCAGGACTGCTCCTCTCCACGCCTCTTGGACTTTCTGCAACCTTCGACACCTCCCACCAGCCCACCTTCTGCTCTTTGGCAAACTGAACACTTGGAAAAACCTGAAAAGCCCGAGTTTTGGAGGCATCCCGTTGGTGTTCCTTTGTACGCTACCCTTACCACAACAGAAAAATAGGAACCCTAATAAAACATTATGACTCGACGCACGATAAGAGGTCAATGACTCACGATAAGAGGTGAGTGACTCACGAGAAGAGTTGGACCGATTGGATGTGTATTCCTTTCCCGCAGGGTTGTGGGATCAAGGGGTTTCTCCCCACTTCTGTGATACCTTCGGGAATCTCCCTTTATATGAAGAAAATAGTCTTTGGGGTTCCGCCCTTTCTGTTGTATCACAGTGGATTCCATTCCAACCACAGCCCTTTCCCGAGTTTGAAGCTGGTTGGTTTGATAAGAGTTGGACCGATTGGATGTGTATTCCTTTCCAACTTTCCCGAGTTTGTGGAAGCAACTTGGTTTCTGGGCACCTGGAAAGGCTCCAACTTTTTGTTCACGGCCCTCTTTCAGTCGCTCAGTCGCTCACGGACTTGGCGGCCAGCGAGAGCAAGGGACTCCCAGGCGCCTGGGCGAGAGCGTTGGAGCTCGATTTGTTTCGAGACCAGTTGGTACCCCCCCGGTTTTTTTGGGGGGGGTTGAAGGGAAACCAAAAGGAAAACCACCAGTTGGGAGATCCCCAAGACATATTTCTTGGTTCAAGTTCAAAAGGCAAAAGCCAGTTTGGGGACCCGGTCCCCAAAAGCCCTTTCCTGGCTCAAAAGGAGCACCACCAGATTGGGGGTCCCAAAAAGGAAAGACACAACACCTGAATTCTTTTGGGGAGGACATGTGGGGACCCCAATTGCCCATGTCTTCTTGTGGAAACAAATATGTTTTGTCCGGGGCACATATGCAATCGTTTCCATCAAATGGGTTTGATATTACCTGTCAGGTCCATTCTCGATGTTTGAATAGGAAACTTGAACCGGCTTTGCCTGCAAATGGCTAAGCCTCTTGGGCAGTTGGTGCCATGCACAATGGGGAGTGTCTCAAAAATTCCCTGTTGAACCATCCCACAAAATGCCTTCTAGTTCGAATTGAGAAAAGGAACGCCAAAAATGACATGTCGGACCCAAATGTTAATTTCGCTCATGCGTGCTGTCAGGGAGGTTTCTATGTACCATCCTCAGAAACCAGTAGGGAAGTTAGGATTGTGGCCCACCAAAGATTCCTACGGTATGGGACCGGAAGTTTGACGCATTGTCTGAAACAAAGCTGGCGTTGTCATTCTGAAACACCAGCCATTCCGGCTCCGTCAGCCAGTTTCGGCAACTGCCCGCTGATATCGCTGCCCCCCCCCCTTGCGTCCACTACTTGCTGGTGCCCAGTAGGGAGCGACCCAGGGTTTGGGAGGCACCTAGTAGGGATGCTTTCAGAGGAAACCGGGGATGGTTTCTGGGGTCATTCCATTTCTCATGCTGCAAGACTCACATGGAACCTGACGTTTCGGTCGCCCCCCCCCCACCCCACCCCCCCACCCCACCCCTCCCACCCCCCACCGCGTGTGAGGGGAGGTCCGTGGCCCGGCGGCTCAGAGCTGCGCCACGCCCGGCGCGGTCTTGGAGCGCCTCGAGGAGTGCAAGGCGCGGCTTCGCGGCGCGGGATTTCGCCGAAGCCTCGAGGTCGGTGAAACCAACGCGTGTCGTAGGGATTTTTGTGGTGTTTGGGTGCTGTTGGTGGTTATGTGCTGGTTCTAGCTTTTTGCCGGATGTTGTTCGGTGTCTCATTTTTTAGGTGGTTTGTTTATGTGTTTGGTTTTGGGTGACATCAGTTGGCTGGGCGTTGGGACGCAGGGCTATTGGACTGCCGGATAAGTCCCACGTCTCTGATTTGCGGGACGGGAATCCCCCTGTTGTCTACCAACGGGCCCGAAATCCCAAGCAACACTGTATGGGCCATTGCTCTCTAGTGTCCCTTCAATACATTCAGTTTGTAGTTGGTTTGCATGGCTTCATCCTGCTCCAATACCCTACAATGGCCAGTGCCCATACCAATGGCCCGTTTTGGCAAAAGAACAAGATACGCAAGCCCGTGGGGGGTCAAAATGAGGGAATGGCCCGACGGGATCCCAAGCCTAGCAAGCGAACGAGGACGTGGGCTACTGGCTGGTTCTGCACCTTCAGCCTGGCGCCTTGCGCCTGGCGCAGGCAGGCTGTGAGGCCGTCGGCCCCTTGGATCCAAGCGAGGGAGCCGGGAGCAGAGAAGGGAGGGCGTTTTCCATACACGTGTGGTGCTGGAGTCCTGTTTATGTTTGGTGAGGCCAAGTACCCCGGGATCCTGCAAGGGACAGCTTCTTATACGGCTTCTTAGGTACTCTGCGGCTCTCAGAATGACCGGTGGAAGGATTCAACCCAGGGCGCATGACAAATCACTTGTCGAATGAACGGTAGAGGACATCCACTGTTTGTGTGTTTTTCAAGCATACTTTGAAATGATTCTGTTTTTATAGGAAACTTGAAACGAGGATCAGCCTTTGAAGCCCCTGCAAGCATTTCAATCTGCAGATGTTCCTGGGTGTGTCTCAGAATATTGGAACCATTCAAGTGAGTGGTTGCCCTTGTTTCTTGATGAAACCACCACCAGGTTGAGGAACTGGACCCTGATGCCGCCCCGTGCTACTTGTTCAAGTGCATGCAAACAAGGGGCCCTAATTTGACAACCCCCCTCCTGACATCCCATGTAATGATCACAGCGGATATCGTTTGGGTGTGCCTAAACCCCTTCGTTGTTGGTGTTCAAGGGGAAACCAAGAGGAAACCCACCGCCTGAAGGGGTTCCTAGCTTTCAAGAGGCAGGTTCGACGTTTTTGAGGAATCCGCAAATGCTGATCAAGCGAGGGTTTATATGCAAGTGTCCTACAATACAGGGAATGTCGAACAAGGCTTCAAAAGCCAAACAAAGAAGTCTCTGTGGCCCGTTCAACAGAACGTGGTTATGAAACCCTTGCCATGACCTCCAATTTTTGTAGGACACCATGCAATGTGCCAAAGCGAGTTGGTTCACCCTCTTTCTTTCTGACCTCTCGTAAACCAAGATGCAGGCAGATCGCCGATGTGGACCATCATGCTGTCAATCAAGCTCATGTCTAGAGTTCTTCATTGACAAGCAAATGCGTTCTGCTTTTTAGTCCAGGCGTAGTCAAGGGTTGTGGCGGAAATAGGGGCACCAAATCTGGTCCAGCCAAAAGCTGAGTTGGGAATCTCCTGCAAACAGGCACCATCCGATCAATCACTCGGAGGTTCATTACGTCAACATCATACGTGCGTTCCCAGAAGCGAACAAGTTTTTTTCCACGGCAACACGAGCACTCCGCGTGAGGTTGGCAACTGTTGGAGTGGCATCTCGGCTGCGAGTTGCCCAACTTTCAGAGTCCCTACGCCTCACACTTGGGAAACCCAACAGAGAAAACTTTTCGCAGTGTTTCCGGGAACCCTTGCCTTGCTCTTCCAGGACCCTGAAAAGGTAGGCCTTCGGCTGGTTTTCCTTTTTTTTTCTATAAAAACAAGAGCTCAAAATGAAGAAGGGCTCCGTTTTAGCGAGCTTTTGGAAGACCAAGGTTGAGGTTGTTTACAAGCAATCCAATCGTTCAGGTCTTTACGGCCTTTGGCAACTCTATTCGGCAACTCTATTCGGCTCACGGAGCTCAAGGGTGTCTGTGAGCTCTGGTTTGTGGTTCACTCCCCATGTTGCACTGGGCAGGGGCTTGCACATGCAGCTGACTTGGTTGGGAAGAACGCGAAGGGAGGCTGGGGGCGGCCCTAAGACGGTTCCCATGTCCTCGAGGAACAAAGGCGGGGGAGGGGCCTTAAACTCCAGTCTTCGGTTGTAATTATTGCCGCCGAACGGGGAGAAGCAGCAGTTGTTAGATTTGCGCGCGCAAGGAGCGCGCAAGTGCGGCCCAAAGAGTGCTGAAGGTTGAAGGTTTAAAGGTGCAGTGATGTTGTGCTAGCTTCATGCAAGGATGTGGTAGCTCTTTACTGTAGCTGACACGACAAAAATCAAGAATCAGAAACTGACAAATTGCGGGCAAGTACGAGAAGGCTCGGCAAGGCATCTATCACCCCTTTTGCTGCCCGGATGTCCTTTGCGGTGCGGTCTTGCCCTGAATACCCTTCGAATCCATCACAAAAACTTCGCAAACGACAACTTGTTTCTGCGTTACTGTGGACACGCTGCTCCGCGCAAGTGCCACGCAAGTGCGGCCCAAGGACTCAATCCCGGGCAAAAGAGTATAGGACAACCCCCATGTGAGTCGAACCTCGGCAACACAAAGCAGAAAAGCAGAATGCCGAAAGGCTCACAACAACCCCTTGCAGCATCCCAAGCAGGTGTTCAAAATCACCCTTTGCCAATTCACTTGAGGACTTTCAGCAAACATTGGACATCTAGTTTAAACAAGTCTGGAGCATTTGCCATTGCGGGGGACTCACACATTGCTTGAACAACAACCAGGCGCTCAGCGTCTGGTTTTGGTCAAGTTCAACGGGGTTTGCGGCCGAGGATTTGGTTCAATTGCAGCACCCCGTCCTTCCACAGCACCGCGGACGAGAAGTTCCGGCTCTTCATCATCGTAGATTCCAGGCATCGATGCGGCCGTGCACAGCTGTTGGCCCCGCTTGGAGCACCTGAAGTTCCTCTCAGTTTGATTGTTTATTCAAGTCCCCTCAAGAGCCAAGCCGGGGTGCCCTGTGAAACCACACTTCGGAACACCCCAAGCGCGTGGTGGGCGGTGGTGGGTGTTTTTTTTTTGCCAGGAGGAACCTCAGGTTTGTCGTTGTTTCCATTTGTTTATGCAAGTTCTGATGTTTCATGATTTTTCGTGGTGTGAAAGGGAACTTGTCACTCGCAGAAATGTCCTTGTCCATCTTTTCCCAGAGCACATCCCATCTCCCTTGAGATCGATTTTTTTGAAGCCAGATGCGACCCCGTAATTCCATGAGCTCCATGGTCTCAAGGAGACAGAATTTCCGGAATTCCACCCCACCCGCGGGCAAGTGGCAGGTCTCCCTGCGCTCTGCCCACTTGGCTTTTCCGCTCCCGGCGCGGCCTTTGCCTCTTCGACAGCCAGACAGGTGCGGAGAGATGAAATCCAACCTGCCAAAAAGGAAATTCCATGTGGCTGAACATGCTGAAGAAATCCTTATGGTTGTCCAGTACACTGAACAACGAGCGGCTGGAAGTTCCGCCTTCTTTGGCTTGAATCCGCGTGGTTGTCCAGTATGTACGTTGAGAACACACTTGGCTGGGAGATGCTCGGTCAGTCAAGCAGCTCCATTCGAGCATGCTTTCACCCAGGTAGGGTGTCTTTGATGCCAACCAACGGCGAGAGCTTTGTGCATACTTGCCAGTGCCAAAATGGGTTAAGTGCCTGAGTGGAAAAGGTCCTACCAACTGAGCCTGTTTTTTGTCAGACGGAAACAGGTCAACTGGTTGAGTTCCACCCAAACGGCGGGTGAGACACCTTGGAATTATTGGCATGTGTTCGAGTTGCTTTATGGGTTCTATTTATTTGTTGTGGGGGTTGCATTTGTTTGGTTCGTCCATGCCCGAAATTGTGTTACCTGTTCAGTTGGCAACCTTTAACGCTTCTTCATAGTCAAGGCCCCAGTCAACTTAGCAGGTCAATAGAGGAGCACCGGCCATTGGTGTTCCTCTTTGGGAGACCTTAGAGGCACGAACGCCATACTAGACAAATCAACTATACGGCCAGAAAACCTGTCCAGGTCTCCAGCTGCGCGCGTGGCTCGAGCATGCCGTGGACTGCACGAGGCGAGGTGCGGTCATCGAATGAAGTGCCGATGTTTGGGACACCGCGAAATGGCCCTCCAACACCACGACATGTTTGCATGATTTTGCATTTATTGGATTTTCAGGTTACGTGTCACATCGTGTTGCGCGTTTACTATGCTTACACGTCCAGGTCATACATTTGCATAGTGTTTCATTTTGCATATTTCATGTCTTTGACTTTTTTGTCCACGTCTCACATTTTGTTGTACTTGGGGCTCATTAGAAACACATACTCCTAGTCTTGCAGGGATGTTCAAAGCGGGTGGGGTTCACACTTTGACAATATGTGCCGCGGACAACAGACATGTTTTCTTGGCAACTGGGGATTGTCATCAACCATTTAGTAGGGAGGCAACCATTTGTCAAAAGGATCCCTGCGAATCGAGCTGATTTCAAGGCGGGGGGGCAGATTCACTGATCACTCTTGTCAGAGACCAATGATTTCCCTTGTTCTACCCGATATGTTTGAAACGATTCGGATATCGAGCCAAGCTTGCCACAAGCAAGGTTCAAGCAAATTGTGTTATCCTTGTGGAATAGAAGCCTAAGACGAGAGCCTTCTCGTTTGCCGGAAGTACGATGGGGCACAATTATCTATCGACCTACCTGCCATGTCTGAAAATCAAAAGTTAGTCGCAGTCAAATGGAAAAGTACGGCACAAGTATGCCGTCCAAGACTTTCTGAGGATTCCAATGAATAGGACCCGTGACACCTGGCAACAGTCTGGTCAGCACACCTGGCACCTGCGTCTCGCAGGAGATCGGAGCAAAGCCCGCCGGTCCCGGTGGTGCCAACGGTCCAGGCGCCCTCCCCGAGCAGCAGCAAGGCAGGGCCAGCCTGACGTGACCCAGCCTCACTTCTGACATTGACAGGTCCCGATAGGTCGCCGAGCAAGCGCCCAGTTTGTTTGTTTGCTCCTCCACTCCTTGACAGTCATCGGTCGATCCGTGGGGATTCGGAGGCAGCGGCAGGGAAGGAGTTCAAGAACTTGGCCGATGCAGCCAATGGAAGTCAGCTGCTGTCCGAGGCATTGGATACACATGTCAATCGCCCTTTGTTGTTGGTTTGTTTTGTGCGGGGAGGACCTGATGTCGATTTGTTTGAAAGGAACTTTGGGGTCCCCCAATTTGAGACAAACCGAGTTGGAATCCTTTCTGGTTTGGACCCCCCCAAAAAAAACAAAAAAAAACAAAGGATGATGTGAGCCTCATCATGATAATTGGCTCTCCCGCAGAACTGTTGGCACGGTCCAGAAACAATGGATCTCCAGTTACTTTAGTACTTGCAGTATATACTTGTAGTACTTGTAGTACTTGTAGTACTTGTATACTTGTGGTAGTGCCTGTCATACTTGTTGCACTGCTTGCAGCAGTTGTACTGGTTCGTACTGTAAGTTTTACTTGCAGTACTTGCAGCACTTGTGGTGCTTCTAGCACTTGTAGTATTGCTCACAGCACTTGCAGCCCAAAACTTCTTGTACGAAGTCGTAAAAGCAGCAGAAGCAGCAGCAGCAGCAGCAGTAGTACTAGTACTTGTGGTAGTAGTAGTAGTAGTAGTAGTAGTAGTAGTAGTAGTAGAAGTCGTCGTAGTAGTTGTCGCCGTCGTAGTAGTTGTCGCCGTCGGAGTAGGAGTCGGAGTAGGAATAGTAGGAGGAGGAGGAGCAGGAGCAGGCGAAGCAGCGGAGCAGGAGCAGCAACAGTAGCCGGAGTCGTAGTCGTAGTCGAGTATTTCGTATAAGCAAAACAACAGTTTCTTTGCCATCTTCAGCGAGTTGAGCCTTGGGTGCGTGGGGTACATCATGATGGACTCCTGCGGCATCATCATCCAAAAAAGGGGACGCATGTTGAAAGCCGCTGTTTGCAGGATATGATGTTGGAGAACGCTATGCCCTGAGAACTTTTAGCCTTCTGAAGACGCAGTGCAGTCTCTGTGGCGCGCCATGTCGGATTGCCAGGGGAAGATGGCCAAGGCAACGTCCAGCCCCGTTTTGTGCAGCTGCTTGGACATGGAAGGGCGCAAGCTGTCAGTATGTACCCTTCCACCAACATGGGAAGCTGACTAGAAGTGCCAGGAAGACCATTTCTCATTTATGGGGGTTTTCTTGTGGGTTCTGCTGACATAGGGCCTGACAAGGCTTGCTTATTGAACTAATATACTGCAGGTTGAAATTGGGCCAACTATTTGGACGGGTCTCAATATGTGCCACGGTCAAAACTTTTGTCCTGGCTGGTGAGGCTAGTCATGGACCCCTTGAAAGTTTAGAGACTCATCATAAGGATTGCTACCATGAACCATGGCCCACAGAACGAGTTTTGAGGATGGCGCCATGGGAGTTTGCTGGCAGTCCGACTTGTCGGCTGAAACTGTGGTTGAGATTGTTCAAGGCATCGTGTTTGCCTTTGGCAAACACGAAATGGCTATGACGGCCAGACCTGGCGTGCGTGTACCTCTTGTGTTATGCTGTGGCTGCTGTGGCTTGCTTGAAAGAGCTGGATGAGCCGTTTGGAAGTTATACCCCGTTCGCAGCATGGTATCCAGCATGGTATCAAGGCTGAGTCCTGTGCTGAGTTGACGTTTCTTCGACATTGGACTCTGATTGCACGTCTCCAAGTCCAATTTACTTCCTCGAGCCATGGTTGAAAGGGATGGTTGCCTTGTCAACCGCCGCACTTGAAGTTATCACATTGGCAGGCTCCTTGAGGGTGAACCGCGCCTTTCCTTTAGGTGGTTTTCAAGCGACATGTTGCGAGCCTCGGCTTTCCGCTCGGGCTCCAGCATGTAGCCAGGACGTGATACCGTGCAAGCATTGTTAGCGCACACTCATTCTCAAAAGGACAAACAGAAGTACTTCACAATATGTCCATGGTGGTGTTAGTTTCTGGTTTCTGCACGGAGAGCTTCCTTGGCAAGCAAGTGGATCATAGAGAGAGAGAGAGAGAGAAGAGAGAGAGAGAGAGAGAGAGAGACCCTCTGGAAGTGATAGCAGACTCGCAAACCACACTGACAGAACAGCTGTCTACAGATTGGGACATACGCATGTATGCAACATGTAGTGTGTACCTGAATATATATATATATATAATCAGATTAATATGAATTAATATGTATAATATATATGTATATATATATGTATATATGTGTATATACGTTTTTAAGGATACAGATACATAGACACACATGCAATGGGGCGATTCTTTTTTGGGGTTGTATTCAGGGGGTTTTCCCAAAACCCATGGGGTTCCACATTCCGTTTGAGCCCACTTCACTTCGGGTTTCGCAATCGTTTTCGTCGGCGTTCGACTCCATGCCGGAGCTGGAGCCAGCTCAGCCAGCGCCGCTCGCCGGGTAAAAAAAAAGGGGGGGCTTGGAGAGGCTCTCGCATTTTTTCTCGTGAGAGCATGATTTTCAACGACTCTTGGAAATCCATGCGTTGTTTGCTTACTCGTTTGTGGTTGTGTTTGGATGGTGTTCAACATGATTTGGGAACAGCCTATGTTTACCCTTGGGACGCACATTGGATTGGACCTGAAGGTTAGGTCCACAGTTCCGTTCTCGGCGCCATTTCCGCTCGGTCAGACAAACTCTGTAAGTTGACCCCAGAACTCCTTCATGTTTACTAGGAGCATCCTTTTTAGAAACCTCTTTTTGGGTTCCACATGCACGTGAACAAAAAGGGGGACCTGACTGTTCAGATCACGTCCCGACTTTGACTCCATTCAACAGGTCTGGGGCCTGATCTCCTGATGCCGAAACGGGTTCAGGCGAAGGCCAGCTTCTCAGCATGAGTCTATTCATGACCCAGACACGCGAAGTGGGCGTAGCAAGAGGCCTGAGGGGCGACCAAACATGGATCGCTTGAAATCAAGAGGCGGAGTCTGCGGTCCTTGGTTTGGAGCCTCTAGGCTTGCTGCAGTGCTGCGAGCATCACTGCATGTGTGTAGTTAGTGGCTCCACGTGAACAGATGCATTTCGAGAAAAGCGGATGCATTTCCCTGGTTGGCCTGACAGGGAAAAGTAAGGCTGCATACGGAGGATAAATCTTGTTCGACGCCTGGAGAAGTCACTCGATATCTTTCGTGGCTTACCTTTTAGCTCCAACTTGCACTTTGCCTATCTCCGCAACAGCTCAAGTTGTTGCTTTATTTGCGTATTTGAATCTAATCAAATGCACGCCAACAAAAGCCAAGTGAAGACATGCAAGATGACAAACGCGGCAACAAACCAACAACCACACCGCAGGATCTCGGTCTCAGTGGCGCTGCTCAGCGGTCAGAGCTGCACTGTGGTGCTTCACGGACACGCAGCCCTTTGGGAGGTCCGTGGGGATTTCGACGCGGAATGACATTCGTGACCCTGCATTTTTCTTGTGAGGAAGATCCTCACACTTAAGGTAGTAGATTTGTCAGTTGTTCCTTTCTCCTGTTATACAGGGGTGTCTTTTGTTTGGTTTTCCGCTGGCAGGCATTATATGGCGACTATTTGGAGTGTGTTGCTCGGATGGAAGTATGTTAGGCTAGGTTTGCATCCATGCTCGTCACATCTGTGGGGCTATAGGAAATTGCAGGTGACACTGTGTGATGAACTTCGGGGCCGACACACCAAATTCTCCAAGCACCCCAAACGGGTTGGCGTTGGCGGGCACAGCTTACAGCTCGAGCCATTTTGGGAGTCCCAGGAAGGCTTTAGGAGTCGTTTTTGTGACCCCGCAGTTGCAACTATTGGGCCCCCCGGCAACTGTTTGGGAGGTTTCCCCTCAAAATCAAAACGCAGGCCTTAGGGCAACTGACGGTTCATGATTCAGATTGCACCAATGGTCCAAGCTCGGAACATATCAGGCTGCCCATATGCGGAATCAAACGAGCTGAAGCATGAGGCATGTCCAATTCAGATAAATACCCAACGTTCTGAAAGCATGGCTGTTCTCAATGTAAACCAAGGGGGTCCAGGCCTGTAAGAGATGGATGTGTCTTGCTCAGGTTGGACCCCCCCGGCACGGCTCTCGGTTTCCCTGTTGAAGTTTTCCTCTGAAACGAGGGCTTCCCTCAAAACCTTTTGTCCGGCAGGTGCGCGCCGAAGCGGGCCGCCAGCTGGGAGTAGGCCTGGAAGGGAGGGGAGATCTCACTGGGAACCTGTCTGGTGGAGAGGCCGCCAAAAACTGGCAGGGTCGGTTACGACAAGCCGAAGTCCAATTATCTGAGTTTGTTATTTTGCGACTGATGCAAGAGATTGTACAGAAGCAAGCAAGGCATGTGGTTGCATACATGACTTTCTTGTGGAGCACTTGGATCTGTGGACTACGCTTTGTGTGGGTGTGTCTCACACGCGAAGTCGGCGCAGAGTGCTCATGTCATGCTTGAAAATGCGGCTGTTGTGCAACATGCGAAGCCAAAGTTGAGCTAAGCCGCAGGCCTGGAGGCACTGATCGCGCCTTGCGGGAAGCGGTTGGATGACTACTGCAGCAACTTGGAAGCACGAGTATCTCCAGAGCCGGGGGCCCCAAAGAAACAAGAAGCACGTTCCTTCCGCAGCCAAGCTTGCCACATCACCTATGTTGCTGGCACGAGACGTGTATGAACTTCATATATGCTGACATTTCACATGAGGTACTGGCAATACTCTCGTGCTTGCGGGATGTAAGAGTCTCGCACATTGTGTTGGACAATCACGAAGCCCGGTAAAACGATGAGGTGCAAAAAAAAGCGATAAGGTTTTTGGGTGTTTCCGTGTTGTTTGTGCTGGAAAACGATAAGGTTTGGAGCATGGAATGCACGTATTGCTAGCATTTTGCTCAATCTTGTTTGCTCCCTTTCCGTCCTTCCTGTTCACAACCATGGCTTGGAGCATTGAGACCCGGGAGAGGCTTCCGAGTCACGACGCTGAAAACGATAACAAAACGATAACAAAAACGATAACGCTTTTTGACAGAACCCATGCCCGTGAGGAGTTGCCCATTGAGAGGAACTTAGCCACTCTACCCTAGCTTTCCCTTTGTCTCCCCGCCATGGACAGCATACTTGTCTTTTACGTTGGAACATGTCTTGGACTCTACGTTGGAACACATTATTGCAGTTGATGAGCGCAGGCTAGCCAAACAAATTGAAGCAAGCAAGCGCAAACGAAAAGCATGGAAGGAGCTTGCTGCTCGTGAGTCCGACGAAGAAAGCCTTTGAAGCCACTATGAGAGCTGATGCGCGCAGTTGTCCAAAAATGCGCGAATCCCTGTAAAACGATGAGGTGCAAAAAAAAAGATAAGGTTGACCATACATCTAATGTGTAAAACGATAAACTTTGACGCAAAAACGATAAGAAAACACATGTGCAGCCCATTTCCATTGAGGTTTTGCCGCGGCCTCACATGTACATGATACAACAACATGTAGTGCATGTTGTATGTGTGTGTATATATATATATGGTCTGGACCCCCCCAAAGACGTTTTTATCCAGGCGTTCGTGTTTTTCAGGGGACGACCAAACATGCAACTCAAAGACACAACTTTGGGTTGTATTGAATTGCTTTCGCGTTGTTCTGTTTGCTCTTTCCCACGACGTGTTTTCAGGGGCCCCTGCTGCGTCATAATTTTGCGGGGAGACTGAACAAAACCATCCTTGCAGGGTGCAGGTACATTTACATAAACACAACCATGTACGTAAATGCGAATGTGCATCCATGTCAATAAGAAAATAGTATGTTTAATTATACATACACACGTGAGTACAAGCCAGCCTGCGCACATATATGTATACATGCAAACTCAGAGGGCAGGGGACTGTGGCAGTACTACTTTTTGCTATATGTTGATCTGCGGTCCAAACACAAACGCGAAAACATGCACCACAGCTCCCTGTTTGATATTCATAAATGCACATGCATCAACCAAACAATATATCACAAGTACGCAGGGTTTATGTACAAGTACGGTTGGGGTAGTTTTCCAAGGTCCAACTCTACATACAGCATTTTCGATATTCACATGTGCCGCATACATATACATAAATACATGCATATGCAACATATGCCTTGCATTGCATCACACTGCACGGCATGCATGATCCCCACCCCTTTAACATAGAATTAATGACTTTCGGAATTCTATTTGTGGTCGCATCTTCGCCCGTTTATGGGGAATACTAGATCAATGGAATATTGGGGACCCCCAACCCGGCTCCCCCTTACGGCAGCCATCTGAATCTGAGCAAGAACATGGTTCTGTTACATGAGTCACTGTTACATAGAACTCATGTAACTATTTTGTTTTAACATGGGTTCACTACTTTACCATGGTTCTGAGTCACATGGTTTTGCTTGTGACTGTGACAACCCCTGCGGTAGAAACCTTAGGCCTGGAGAGCTGCGAGGGGCTCACGCTCACGGCGCTCTGCCGCCGCGCGCGGCTGGTGAGCTCGCGCTTCGCCAAGGCCTTCGCCTTGATCCGAGGTCCGAACCGAAGGGGATGGGGCAGGGAGGTGAGGAAGCGCGAGCTGCGGGTCACATGGCAAAAGCTGGAAGAAGTGGATAACTTGCATGGGGGTGGAGTGGGTTAAATCTTGCAGCATCCTGACGTTGAAGCAAGTGGGAATTATCTTCTCAGGCTGGGACGCATGTTAATGTCTGAGGTCAATTGGAAAAGTGAGCCGAAAGTGAAATCAGCCCGGGCATGGGTGCAACCTGTACTCTTCATATTGTTTCCTTACCCTAGTTTTGCGAGGACCAAGTTTTGAAATCTGTTTGGGAACCCTGGGAGGATTAAAACGCTTGAACTTGTTTGAACTGATTTGGGCAAGGAGGCACGCAGCAGCAAGAGGTAGCCTATGCTTATCCCGCAACAAGACCAGATTTGGGGTACAACTACAAGCCACATCTCAGCCAGGCCATGGGCAATCACTAGGAACCAGGTATCCTCAGTGGGAGGTCCCCGTGCCCTTCACAAGCAAAAACATGGCTTGCTGCAGAGGCTCCTTTTCTGAGGCGCGTTGGTCTTTTCAAGGGGTCTTTTCTCCAAGACGGTTGGGTCTTTGGGTTCTCGTTGGTGCAAGAAAAGAAGACTGGAAGTTTCCAGTTGTCCAATACACCGGGGCACGCCAAGATCAAGCAGGCGCGGTACAATGCAGGTGCAAAATGTGATGTTTCGTCACGTGTATCTTCCAGCCTGTTTGTTTGCTACCAGTTGAGGGAGAACCACGCTGAGCTTGAGCTTGGGGTCCGAAGAGGCATCCTTGAAATCAAACCGCCTCAAACCCATCTAAGGAGAGGGCCAGGCAGCTTTTTGGGAGCCCCCAATGAGGTGCCTTAAAGCCCAAGCCCAGTTATCCTCTTGGCGAACTACCTGGTTCCCGCGCTTGGTTCTACAAACGCCTCCCAAAACGAATCCTGTTCTTGACTTTGCGGTTGCCTCTATTCATTGGTGCCCTGGTCAACCTCTTGTTTCTCTGCCGGGATGCTTCCTTCGCTTTCAGGCGACGAGACGGTAGTCACCTGGGGCGATGACCAGAACGGTGGGGACAGCAGCGAGGTTCAGCACCTGCTCAGGCGAGAGCGAGTGAGTCGGTGGTTGAACGACCTCTTTGGACATCATGCTACACTTTTCATGTTTTATTTTTTAGGGCCAGCATTTGGTAAACATGCTACTTGTTGGGGGCAACAGCTGAGGTAGCTGATATGGCTGGTAGGGAGGGGGCAAGGGCGCCAAAATTATTGGACCCTTTCGCCTCCTCGAAAACACAAAACACTCTTCAGCACAGGGGGCCCTTTGTATTGGATCGAAACATCCCTTCGTTGCCCTCTGTTGAAGTTAGTTTTCTTTGAGCTCGGGTGGATCAATGTGTCAAGACACGCCGTATGAGGGGCACAGTCCTGACTACTCTGCCACGGCTTTGACATCAGTAGTTTTGTTTTTACAGTAGCACCCCACAGCCCCAAATTTAGGTCATTGTAGATTGGTTGAGGGGTTTGGGTTGAACGCCAGGAGGGTGCAGGACGTGCAGGTCTCGGACGGCGCCTTTTGTGCGGTGCTGGCGGATGGCTCCGTGGTGACTTGGGGCCAGCCCAACTTCGGGGGCGACAGCCGGCGCGTGCAATCGCAGCTCCGAAAGGCCCAAACTTCGCCGAGAGAACGAAACTCGGGACGCCAATAGAAAGGACAGGAAGAATTGGTTTCCTTTTTTTTGCTCGGGTTTCTGAGGACAAAGTTTGTGTCCCTCTCTTTTTTTGTGTCTTTCAGAAGCTGTTCGCTCCTTGCCCCCCCCACCCTCCCCACCCCCCCCACCCCTCCCGCCCTCGCGCGAGTCGCGCGAGTCGCCGCGAGGTGCGCTTCGTGGTGCCCTCCTATGCCGCCTTCGCCGCCGTGACGGCGGAGGACCAGGTGGTGACCTGGGGCTCCTTGGAGCTGAAAAAATCCGTCGCGTCAGACGCCGGGCCGGCGGCTCAAAACCCCGGGTTTTTCGCCCGGTGGAGCAGTGGAAATCCCAGTGAAACGGCAACTTTTGGAGGACTGCAAAGGGAAATGGAGACTTGTTTTGGCCAATCCACTTTGAACCCGACTTACCAGCTTGCGATCATAGCTTGAACAGCACAGATGGACTTGTGAACGTTTCGGCGGACTGACGCCTGTTAGGTAACGCGGACTATGGCGGCGACTGCTCCTCTGTGCAGCAGCAGCTGCAGAACGTGCGGCAAGTGCAAGGCTCATACGCCGCATTTGCAGCCATCCGCGAGGAGTCATACGGTGCTCGATCTATCTGTTCTTGTTTACTCTTTTTAACCTTTTCTTTTGGAGGGCAAAGGCAGCCCAAAGAGAAGCCACCCAATGCCATAGTTGCATTCTAGGATTCATTCTTGAACAGAAGACCATTGGCTGGGGGCTGCTGATTTCTATTGTGTGTAGTTTTATTGATAGCGCGAGCTGGCGCTGTTGCTGTAGCATCATGCGGTTTCAGTATGCAATCAACTGTGCTGAGTATGTCAGATCTGACTGGCGCTGAAATGAGTAGTGTTTTGCCGGCGCACCCTGTCCGCAGTAGCAAATTTAGAAGAGGCGTTGCTTGGTTGGCAGTGGAATCTGCCCCTGATTCCCTTCACCAGAGCCCGTCCAAAATATAAACAGAAAGAACGGACCTCAGTCATGTTCATTCAAATTGGGATTGCCTCAAGGGTACACCATGCGATGTCCAACTCGCAAGGACGGAAGTGTCGTCACCTGGGGGGATCCCAACCACGGCGGGTCCTGTGCCCGCGTGTGGCTCCCAGCGAACGGTGGGGAAAAAAGCAGTTTAGTCCCCGGTTGAAAAACCACTCCTTTTGAAGAACGTCCTGTCCCTTTGGAAACGCGGGACCGGGCAGTCTGGCATCCCTTGCCACCATGATTTCGCCTTGGGACGCATTGCACATTTCAAGCACCTTAATCAGGCTATATTCTTTGAGCCGTTTGAAAATCAAGGTACCCCGTTGAACATTTGCAAGTGCAGACATTCTTTTTCTGGGCGAACGAGGAGGGGAGCAGCCAATATCCCGTGGAGTCCACGATTTTTATGGGTTGACTGCACCAACGATTGGACCCCTTCGGCAGGTTCGACTGATTGCAGCGCATCTGATTTCGGATTTTTTGTGTGAGAACCCATTTGACGTCACCCAACTGGGGGGGCTCACATTTCAGCTACAAACCCCAAGGTGACCTGCTCATTTTCCCATGTCCAACTATGTGCAAACGCATACTGTTTGACTTAACCCAACCTTAGGACCTTGATCTTCCAAGGGCCCATTCTTGGAAAGATCACTTTTGCACGTTGTTTTTGTTTGTGATTGGCCATGATTCATTTCATCATCAGGGATGTCGCGGTAGTGACTGACCTGTGATGTTTGGCTCAAGATTTTGGGTTCCGTCGCGCCTCGAATGGGCGTCGCCGAACCCCTGCGTCGACCGACGGCATCTCGGGGGAGAAAGAGACCTCGGGCTGCCGCCAGGTTGGTAGGGACCAGTCGTGCGGCCTGTTGTCGATCAAGGTTGCGGGTTAACCCTTTTCTTGTTTGGTTTGTTTCCCTTTTGGTTGTTGTTCTCTGGTGTGTGGGAAACCCTGATCTTTGGGACCGGGGATTGGTTTGCTTTTGGGGAACCTTTCTTTTGTGGCTTGTTTACCCCAACTTACCCATTGCCTGGGCACAGGCTCGTGCCCGAATCACAGGTTATCAGCCGTAGGACTTTCCTACGCGCTTGAGACCATCAACTACAAGCTCTATGTCGACCCCACGATCACACAGGAGTGTCGTGGATGAGGAGGCCATCCTAGGGGGCCTCCGCTCAGGTGAGGACCTACCGGACTTCGATTATGAGGATTTCGAAGCAGGTTCGGCAGGTCAGGACCGCAGGGGTGAAGATCCCGGTAGGGACACACCCAGGAGCCGTGGCAGGTACACCGACGATGGAGACGATCGCATTTTCCGTCAGGCCACTGATGATGAGCAGACACGAAGGGTTCGCTCCGATAGGAGCGGCTCTGAATCAGGTCACAGGCGCGGACAGTTCGACTTCATCAGCATGGCGATGAACATGGCCCGCCCTCATTCGGACGACCCGGAGGCCATGCCGACCCGACCCCCGAGACGGTCACAGAGATGAACGCCGTGCACTTGGCGGCCATCTTGTGCGCTGCGGTTCCAACGGACCCTGCTTTCTTGCTTCCTTATCACGCTGTCTTTGCGTTCGAGGAGAGCATCGAGATTGGCGGGAATGCGTTACCCGTGGACAGCAGTACTGAGCCAGCCGCTCAACCATGCGGCGGGATGTGGGTAGGTGACCCGAAATCCTGGCCGGAATGGAAGACGGTTCATCAGCAGACGGCCTTGGTAAAGACGGTCGCTGATCAGGCCGAGGTGGCATTCGGGGATCACCCTCTGTATAGCGGAGATGATTTCGGCGATGCGGAGCACCATTTCCATGCACTCCGTGCCTGGATGAGCGAGAGGCCGAACGCGTTGTTCACTCCTCCGGAGGTGGTCGTCGATGCGATGATGCTGACTGAGGGGAGGAACAGGGAGGAGATCGTTAGGTGTTCCTCGGGACGGCGGCTATCATCGGCCCCGTCGGTCAAGAAGTTCGCAACGGCCGATAAGCCAGGAATGCGGGGATACCTGCACGCGATGGGACACATGTCAGGTGTGGTCACTTCCTTGGGTGATGCCATCAACTGGGACAATAGACAGGTGTTGAGGATCTCGCCTAAGAACCCGGCGAGTACCACTGATGTTGAAATTGGTCCCGATGACGGATGGGCATTCTTCGACTTGGCCATCAATTTCAGAGGTCAGACGGATACTGAGAAGGTCCTTATCCATGGAACTTCGCAATCCTCATTGTGGATCTGGGTGGTATGCAGGTTACTGCGTCCACCGCGAGCGATGAAGCGGTAGGTGTATGGACGTCATTGAAGGCGGTTGAGGCCCTGGGGTACAGCACTCTGTCGCACTACGGTCAGAACACGTGGGCGAGGGTCGGGATTTGCATCGCGCAGCCGGACGAGGCTGAGAACCTGTTCAGCGACAATCCCTACCTGAAGGGCGTCAAGAGAGGGGCCCAGCGAGTGTTCCCGAACGCGAGGCTGGGGATCTGTGGAATCTGCGTCAAGCTCGAGAAGCCTGCGGCAGACTCACAATTCGTGGAGCTATGCAACTCAGGGGGCGATAGCACCCTGCAGTACTACAACCCGTTCGTCGAATGGAATCCGCATGCTCCATCGGTCGTGTGGGCTATGCACAAGTTCTTCCCTGAGAACTACATGGGACCGATAGGTCTATCAGTTGAAGAGGAAAACATGCGTGCTGCTCCAGGAACACCACAGGCTGCCGAGGCGGATGGCGGTGCACTTTTTGCCAAGATAGTGCCGAAGTCGACCATGCATGAGGCGATTCGAGGCGAGACGTTTGAAATCACCCTAACGAAGGGGTACTTCACCGAGGCCAAGGAGGAAGCACGGGCCGCCGGACGGGGAGCGCTCATCCCGAGGGAGCTCGAGTGTTTTGAGCAAGCCAGGAAGGTGATGCGTCTCATCAGGAACAGAAAGGTTGTTCCACCGACAGTAGAGCTGCCAAGGGGAGGATACTCCCGTGTGGCGGTTGATTCTGCGCAGATGGAGAGGCAGTGGGACGCATGGGCAACTGCCGTGTTAGCGGATGTGATGCTTTCTATCTACCCATCCATCGTGCTGAGCGAGATGAGTCGCTGCCAAGACAAGATGGTAATCTTGCTTCGGTGCTTAGCGGCTAGTGGGACGGGCGCTGCGGTAAGGATCGCTGCGGCCCTATCGGCCGGATACGGCCCCCCGGTGTACAAGGAGGAGTCCGCGGCCCCGGATGCGACCGTGTTCTACCTGCTGGATCAGACGTTTAACACTGCATCGACGAAGAACAAGAAAGGGATGGACCCAGCAGTATTGGCGGAGAATATCCTCACGTGCAGGACGAAGAACGATAGGTTGAGGGGTTCCCCGGATAACCGACCGTTCAAGAACTATGAGGTGCATTACGTGACCAGTACTCGTGATAACGAGGAGACATCCCTTCGGATGATGATCGACAAGGCGTACGATTTGATGGACAAGCGGACGGAGGAGTGCGTCCAGAAGTACGGAAACGCGGACGCCGCGAAGTCCGACCTGTATGTCTTCGGCTTCCGTGGTTCCTACCTGTACAGGTGGGAGAGGAACGCGTGGAGGGCAAGAAGCGATGCGGCCACCGTGTGGAGTAAGGACGTAGAGTCGCTGAATGCGCTCAGCAACAAGGTGAAGGTGATGGTTTGTGGCCCGGGGCGATCGTTAGGTCGAGAGGGCGACCAGGGGATTCACACGCAGAAGGAGATCCAGTTTAAGATGAGTGATATCCGCATGAATCTGATCCCAGTGGTTTCAGCCGACGCTGTGTCGTGGGGGAGTGAAGTTGACAACTACGGCAGGAACCGGCCAGTCCAGAGGGCATGGATTGTGGTGCCGGCCTATCTTGCGGCTGTCCCGGACCTCTTCTCCTTGACTAGGACCACATGGCCTGGCGCTACCACGTTGTACATCAGAGACAACATTTTGAAGCATCTGAAGGAGGATACTTCTTCGAAGATGGGTGATGGCGGCTCAATGTCTGACTCTGAGGATGTCAACATGACGGATGCCGCTCAGGGAGGGCCGCCGATAGGCGTAACCCCTGGTGGGCAATCGTCCGACGCAGGTCACCGTGTGGAAGGTCATTCCGCTGGCCCGAAAGCCCCTCCCAAGGCGTTAGTCACGAAGGAGATGCTGGCATCGGCGAGACCGAAGTCTCCGCCGAACCCACCTCGGAGTCCGAGGGTTTCTTCCCCTCAGGTCACTGCGACCGAAGTTGGAAATCGATGGTCATCGAATCTTCGGGCGCCCAGAGCGACGATCGAGGAGGAGAACACAGGTGGATCCACTGAGGTTGATGATCTCCTGCCCGATAGGGAAGGGATCGATCTCCCCACGGACACCTTCAACGATGGTGAGGGACCGACTGAGGCCGAGCGACAAGAGTTCGCCGGGGACGTTGAGATGGAGCCAGAGAAGGAGGCCGACATTCCCGCTGAAGGCGAGGGAGAGACTCCCGATAGGGAGGCTGAGGTGCCTCAGGACGCTGCAGCCACGACCGAACAACCCGCGGAACCGTCTGCGGCGGTGCGAGCAGCGTCGCCCGGTAGGAAAGGACGTAGGGATCAGGATCCTGTTGACACCCAGAAGAAGGATGAGACGCCGAATCAGGCTGGTCCAGGTGTGCCGGTTTCCTACGCTCCCAAGTACACGGACGACGATGGGGATCTGCGGGATACCGCAGTGACCCCAAAGGCGGCTTCGACCCAGGAGTCACGAGGGGGCATGCACAATTATGCGAACACGCCCTACCCGGAACACGCGGGGGAAGCGCCTGAGCTGAAGCCTGCGGAGGTTCGGCATCATCGTGAGCATAGTTCCTACATGTCATCTAGGGGCTCACGGACTTCGGCGAGGCCGGCGGAGAACCGGACAAACAGGAGGTTCATCGTTCAGCATGTCCTGGCGAGAGAGGCCGGTGAGCCCTTCATCTATGCCGTGATTCGGAACAAGGCGATCACTCAAGGGCGGGTTACCGCCGAGGAGTGGAAGAAGGCAAGCGAGACCAGCCACATAGTTTTCCCTAATCGCGATAGCGAGTGGAGTGCAGTGTTGGATCGAGCCGTGCATAACGATTACATGTACGGAGCATTGGATGCTTCCCGAGCAGCTGGGAGGATCGATCAGGAGTACATCAATCCTCGAGATCGGAAGTCTACGCCATGGGCTGATCAACAATGGAACATGAAGAAGGTGGCGGCTGAGGCCGCCCACATCCCGTTAGGGATGAGGCAGGACATTCAGGCGAAGTACCATCATGGACGAGCACCCCCGGGGGACTGGGCAGATATGCCCGATCGGGATGATTACATGGTTCGAGGTGTTGTTAGTGACCCGAACCGCAGGGCGTATGACTGTCTCCGAGCGCCAGGAGTAAGGGCAACCTTGCTGAACGCGCAGACGGGCCAGTGCATTCCTTTGGACGATCCAACGTGGGTGCCGGAGATTGCATCATCACATCTGCTGGTAGGGACAATCACAGCGATCGCATCGCACGTGGACTGCGCCCTTGGGCGTGCGTGGCGTATGCCTATGTTCCACCCTCAGCTGATGGCGGCGACGGCAATGCTGGAGAAGTTGCAGAAGTACTTCAACGCGCTGAACGAAGCGGTACTAGGCAAGCGATTGGGTACTGCGCCTTTCAGCATGATAGCCGGTCACCTTGCTCCGGAGTTGCGGACTATCCCGACGAGGGAACAGATGTCCGACACGCTGGCGCAGTCAGCAGCTGAAATCATGCTGTCCCATGTGTCGGCGCTATCTCATTCAGGGTCAACTTCCGATAGGAAGGAGATCCTTGATAGGGATGGCAACCCGTTCGGGAAGTCATGGTTTGAAGACGATCCTGAAGGGGCCACATGGCCTGGACACCACATGGCTGGGGGTGTCGCCATTCCTCTGAAGCCGAAGACGAAGATCGTATGGGGAAAGCGACCGCAAGTGGATGACGAGGGTGATGTGGATCCAGGGGCGAGCTCTTCTGGGCAACCGAGGACCGAGCCGGTCCCCGATAGGGGTGCCGGGTCAGGAAAGGATGATGATGTGACACTTCCTGACATTGGGAAACTTTCCATGACGGCCTCGGGGTACTGAGGCTGGGAAGACAGACCCGAGCGAGATTACCAACTTCAAAGGCGCTACCTTTGAGGAGTACCGCAAGACTGCTCCAGACTATGTGTACAGCGGGGAGGGAGATGATCGAGGGATCCTTCCCAAGAACACTCCGATCAACATGGAGAAGTCGTTGCCTGCTGAGGCAGCGCTCTTGATCCCCAGGGCCGTGGCCACACAAGAGGAGGCTGAGGAGGCTGAGAGGGCCGCAATGGAGGCCATCCGCGGGGATTTCAGGCTTCCTGACGTTGGTCAGGCGGACAGGGAGAAGGTCGACCCCCACACAGTGACGAGTGAAGACTTGACTGCGTCGATAGACGCGCTGACCAAGAGGCTGAGTGACGTGCCTGGATGGTCGGGAAATTTGCTCGACCCTGTAAAGTCTGCCGAACTGGTTGCGGCAAGATGGGGCGGAAAGGCGAGCTATGACAAGCCTGAAGCTCCTCTTACTGAAGCAGGAATGAAGAGTGCGTCACTGGAGGATCGAGCCTACGCCTTATCGCAGCTGAATGAGATGGTGAACTTCCACAAGAAGCACCTGTGCTCTGGGAGAGGGGCGCCAATGGTAAGTGCATCTGCTCCCAGTGGGCCCTTTGCGCCCGATCAGGTTGACGCAAGCAGGAATTTCCGCCCGAGTGTGGCGGCAAGCAAGATGACGTACAACCTCGTGATCCTGGATGGAAGAAAGGACTACCTCGCAGATAGGCAGGAGATCAATCCAGAATTGCGGGAAACTGGGGTTGTGCCTGATGAGGCTGTCACTTGCCAGATCGTGGTCCCATCGAAGACGAGTTTGAGCGAGTACGTTCCGAACTACGAGGAGACCGCGAGCACCGTCGCAGGACGAGAGGCGGCTCAGGCGTTGATGAAGCTGCTCTCGTGTGATTTTGAAGGTTTGATGATCAACTCGAAAAGAGTCTCGGAGTTATTCGAGGAGAACGTGCTGAAGGAAACTGGACGGGAGGCTGGAAACTGGGTGAGTAGTGACCAAGCTATCTGGTTTCTGAGAGAGATCACGGGTATGGAGAACGCCGAGATGTCGTGGAAGTTCTTCATCCCGGCGATCAAAGCTTTCCCGGTAGGGCAAGTTGAGACAATGCTCATGATCATGTACGATGGGAATGGTGTCCTCCTCCGGGGGTGCACCAGATTGGTGGCCGTTAGGTACACGCGGATCGGACGGGACATGAGTTTCAGCGCCGTTAGGCAAAGATACACTCAGGAGGATGCACCTGGCGGATCTCTGATGTACGAGATGCACTGGAATGAACCCCCTATGGTGGGGTACGTCATCATGAAGTTTCTCGACTTCAGGAAGGCAGTCCAACTCCAGAAGATGAGGCGCAACGGGAAGGCAATGATCGAGATATTGATCACGAGGCCCGATGCGTACGAGACCATTGGGGATGGAAGGCTGGATGAGGGCCTGATTCCAATTGTGGAAACTATGGTATGGCGCCGAACGCCGAGGTGTCGCCGTCGTGGTACGTTAGGGACAGGCTGCGGAACTACTCAGGTAGGTACGTGGTGGTCATTGTGGACCTTCGGGTGCATTGGTCATTGGTTGGACCTGTGTTCCTGACAAGGAGAAAGACCCTTGCTGTTCGAAACGAGATCCACATGGGCGCGTGGAAGGCTGCGTACATGTTCGATGATTACACGATAGTGTACCATCGGGCTTGGGACTACCGTAACGCTCCGCAGCTCTCCTCTGGACAGCTGCGGCAACACATCCAAGCTGACCGAGACGGCAGCTGTCGTGGGTATCGTGCAGCTCTCGTGAGTCTCCGAGACTCTCGGAACCCTGACATATTCTACGATCGCTGTTAGGCATACATACCGATAGCCTGCTGTCACTGCACGAGAGCTGCGACTGCATAACCGTGACATCTCTGCGCATCATTTTATGGAAAACTTACAACTTTTTCCGGTAGATTGCAGTTTTGAAGATGCGCCAGTCCACGATAAGTAGTGGACAGCTCTCGTATTTCTTCAACATGCGTCGGCGAGCACGACACAGACGTCGTTTGAATGGCGACAGCTGCAGCGTGGGCAGCTGTCGTTGGCGCCGAACGGTGGCAGCTCAACGAGGGCGGCAGCTATCGTCGGCGCCGAACACTGGCTGCTCTACGAGGGCGGCGCTGTCGTTGGCGGAGTGGTACACAAGCAGGCTTGACTTGACCACTCGCGCCACAAGGAGCGCTTGAGCCAAACAAAAAAACACAACAAAAAAGTTAAACGCTAAAACAAAATGCAGCGTTCTACCACAGGGCTCCATCAAACCCGGAATCTTTCATGGCAAAACCGTGCCCAACGAACCAAACAAATAAACGGAAACACAACCAAACAAACAAAAAAAGAAAACACAAAAACGAACAAACATACAAGCAAGCAAGCAACCAAAAACCAACCAACCGACGAACAAACAGACAAACAAACCAAACAAACCAAACAAACAATTAAACCAACAAGCAAACAAACAAACATACAAACAAACAAACAAACATTCAAACAAACAAACAAACAAAGAAACACACACAAACAAACACACAAGCAACCAAACAAACAAACAAACAAACAAACAAACAAACAAACAAACAAAACAAAACAAACAAACAAACAAAACAAACAAGCAAGCAAGCAAGCAAGCAAGCAAGCAAGCCAACAACAAACAAACAAACAAACAAACAAACAAACAAACAAACAAAAAAACAAGCAAATGCAGCAACAAACAAAAGCAACAAACAAAACAAAACCAGCACGCACACACACACACACACGCAGAAGCAACCGACAGACATGCAGACACCCACACACACACATGCGACGACACGCCCGCACTCACGCAGCGACTCACACACACACAAACACACACACACACACAGACACACGCGCACACCCACACCCGCAGACACACACACACACACATGCACACGCGCGCCAACGCACGCGCACGCGCAGACACAAGCGGGCACACACGCACACACGCAAACAAAAACCCGCACAGAGACACACAGAGACACAGGCACACAGGCACACAGGCACACAGGCACACAGACGAGCAAGCACGCACGCACGCACGCGCGCACACCAGACACGCACGAGCGCACACGGAGACATACACACACACATTGAAACACAAAAACGCACACACACACACACCTGCACGCGCAGAGACACAGAATGACAGACAGACAGACAGACAGACAGGCCGGCCGGCCGACCGACCGACCGACCGACAGACAGACACATGGGGGGGGTGTTCAAATTAAATGGCCAGCAGCGTTTTCCTTTCAGTTTAGAACAGCCCCCACATGCATAAACATGAGCGCATGCGTGCATGAGCCCACGTTTTCACCGCGAGCACCTCCGAGCATCCTCGAATCGCATGGCAAGTAGCAACAGGTACCGTTGCCAAAACCTTGACTGGATCATGGAAGAGCTGTGACAAGCCGTGGCTATCTTTTTGATGTAGCCCAAAAACGATTCATCGTACCAGCAAGCGTGAGCCCGGTTTGGATTAACCAGGTTCCGCTTCAAATCTTGCGCCATTTCTTGAAAATAATGATGTTTCGGAACGATTTTGAAAAGGCGCCACTTGCGCCTCTCACACAAACTGGCTATGTGTTGCCAGCACTGCAAGTGCGTCACGAAAAGCCGGTGAATTTCCTGCCAGGGTCACGGCTGAGGTTCCTTCAAACATGTTCCCAGAGAAGGTCTTTTCCCCCGTTCCCTTTCAAACAAGGTCCCCCTGCAAAAATGGTGGCCCTTTAAAAATACATTCCTGTTTGTTATAGTTTGACGGGCCCTTTTTTCAAACAGGGGGAGGAAGAATACGTTGATTGGGAACGTTGGGATGTACTTAAGCATATGTGTTCCTACGCATGCTAGCCAAGAATTGCTCTTTCTAGTTTGGTGGGTTTCCCTTCATCGTTGTTTCAATAAGCTGCCACCCCTGCTCCTCCGCATCATGTGGGCATAAGATGATATCAGAAGCATCCAAAAGGCGAAGGCCTTCTTGTAAGCACCAAAAGCAAACGGAAATCAGCTTGAGCTGCCAATCCTAAGTTTTGCCCGTCTCAAGCCCTGTTGTTTTTATGGCCAACTTGAGAAAACAAAGTGGCAAACATTTAGGCAAGTGTCTTCATCATGTTTGCGAGCCAATTTTGAAGCTTTCTTTGTGAAGAACCAAACGCTTGCCTTCACAGAAGCTGCTTTGTACCTGCTTCCCAGCTCTGGGTATTCCGAAGGAGTGTCCAGCCCTGTGCCCGCCGGGGTGAAGGTCCGTAAGTGCACCCGCAATCCAGCCCCAACACAAGCTTTTTTCTGTTCGGCAGACAGCCCGCGTAACTGTTGCTCCAGATCATCACCCACCAAGTACCCTGAGCGACTCCAAAACCCCATGGTTGATGATAAGAGGTGCTTGCATGTTCCCAGGAAGAGGCAATGCATAGGGTCGTGCCAGCAAGTGAAGAGATGCCAGCCCGGCATAGAAACCCAAGGGCTGAGGGTTGGAGAAGTTCTCAAGTAGTCTTCATGACCTGCCACAAGAAAAACCAGGGTTGTGTTCAGACATAACACTTCAACACGAGCAATTGCATTGTCGGGCGCAAATAAGGTGGCCACTGATGGCTGTAAGTTTATGGCCAGCACTGTCGTAAAAGTTCTTGTAAGGCAGCGGCTCATCACCAGTTCGAGGTTTCTGTGCTAGGCATCGTTCGCAAATAAAATTGTGAAAGTAGCTCCGCTGAAACTGATGTGTCTCTTTCCGCGCTTTGGCATCGGCCTTGAATCCGAAATAAGCACATCGCCACCCTTTGGCAAGGGTTGCATTTTTCAGGGAAGCTCGAAACCCTTCAAGTTGCTCCCCATTGTAGCCAGTTGTAGGCCCAACGCCCTTTGTAGCAATGCCCATAGACCACGAGAGCACAGAGGCCACCAGGCTAAACAAAGAATCTCGGACCTTAACACGGCAGAACCCAAACTGGTTGAAGCATAAATTCTTGAAACTCTAGGCGGTACCAACGCAGTTGAGATTCACTGTCGGACACCATCCATTGGTGCGGGATGATGCAGCAAGGGAATTTCACATCCCATACCTAAGGGGAAACAGCAATCACATGTGATCTGAATACCAATCCAAACATCAATCACATGTGATCTGAATACCAATCCAAACATCAATCACATGTGATCAGAATTCCAATCCAAACATTCTAGTCTTTACATTGACGGGCCTGGATTTACTGAAAAGGGCTGACAATTTTCTTTCAAAAGCCAAAGGTTTAAACCATGTTGATGAATTACTTGGTAGGAAGGGTTGTGGCCACCAATCCCAAACCATCCCAAACCCGTGTTTCGATTCCGACACCGCTCCTCGCCAGAAACGAAGATCGATCCAATACTCCAGACCAGGTATTCCGAATTGGAATAAAACTCAGCCCCATCAATGTGCAGAGCAATCGGTATCAATCCTCAGGTGCATTTTGGAAAGGGAGAGTCCATGGGCTTCCAACATGAAAAGGGTTGCCAGCAAAGCAAAATAGACCCATTAAGCAAGTGGCTTTCCTTGGGCACAGTTTCGTCGGTCAGGGCAGGGTGATCACGCCATTCAACTTGTTTGCAGCAATGCCGCCAGAAGGCAACAATCTCATTTGAAGATCGATGGCCAGTCATAGATCGGGCAAACTGGCACACGTTTGCAATCTCAAACCTTATTTGATGTTGCATATGTGCAAAGCACCGGCCTGCCACGAAGAAGACTCAGCTAGACAGTGAAGAATCTCGTGGGGCAAGAGGAAAGGGATCGCAGTCTTGCGTAAGCCGGTCTTGTTGGGCACCTGGCAGTAGCAGGACTCACCGACTGTTGGGGCATGTTGGGGCTGTTTTGAAAACAACTGGGTCTCTGACAAAAACAGTGTTAAAAGTGGTAGCGCCTGGACTTCAGCCTCCACGCAGTAAGTGGACAGCTTCAGGGAAAATAATTGACTCAGCCACCTGTGAAGGTCACGTTCTTCATTCTGCGGGCAATTCCCAAAGTTACCCAGCGATGCAAAAGCAGCCACCGATGCGGGAGCACCCGCTTCAAAATCTGCCAGGTTGGCTCTAGCCAGTTGAGCAACAGCTGCCACAGAGGCTTTGCCCTCTCCTATCATTCCTTAGGCATGCAAACAAAAAGCCAAAGCAATCAGCAAACTCCTGCATGACACTTGTGTGCTCGAATCCAATCAGAACCCGCCCAGGCTCGGATGTACGTTTCAGCGGTTTGGGAAGTCGGCATATTCTCAAATTGGGTTGATCTCAGCCTGGCTTTCAAGCACCACAACTAGACAGCAAACCCATCACCGGCGGGCCTTCCCGGATGCGACTTTCTGCGCGGGCTCCACTTGTGAGCACCTCAGCACACGTCACAGTGCTCATGCCGTCCTTTCTCGTTGTGTGTCAAGGCTGCAGGCGAAGGGCAATCTTTTTTCTCCGGCACGCGGACTCTCACACTGGCGGGCACCAATTCAGAGCCAACTCAATGAGGAGGCACACCCCAATTCAAAGCCAACTCAATGAGGAGGCACGACTAATGGTGCTTCCAGGGTTCCCAAAGTGCACCTAAAGTGCAGACAAACTGCCAAAACAAGTCACCCAGAGCAGTGAGCTTTATTTGTTTTGTTCCTCTGAGTATTTTTTCAAACCTAGGTGACTTGAGGCAGACCCTACTTAGATTTCGCTGCTTTCTTTGCGTCGCTCTTCCGGCCCGTCTTCTTCGACGCTCCCAGGCTGGATTGCATGGCCTTTGCAGCTGCCTGCAGGCATTGAAGGCGCGTTGGTGGAAAGGGCCAAATTGAGGCAATGGAGTCCCACTAGGCTAGCTCTGTGGGGAAGATATTTTTTTTGGGGGGGGAGGGGGAGGGTCATAACAAAACATCCATCCACGTTACCCGACTGCCAGACACCCCAGGCTTTGGGGGGGTCAGGATTGGCTTCATGGAAGAACTCTGATGGTTTTCATGTGTCCCTTGAGCAAAGCAAAACTCTAGAAGGTAAAACCAAATAGTTTCTGCGTTGCCCCAACGCAAACATCAGTGCAATTCTTTGAGGATAAACTTGTTTTTGTGTTTCCCACGTTGGCCCAAAACAGCAGCTCAGGATGTCTGCGGGAGGGTCGGGGTTGGATGGGTGGAAAAACTCAGTGTTAGCAGCTCAGGACTTCTGTGCGAGGGTGGGGGATGGAAGAACTCATATGTTGCAAATCTTCTGGGATGACCTTAATGTTTGTCGTGAAGCTCGGGATTTGTGTGTGAGGGGCAGGGTTGGTTTGGTGGAAGAGACCCCCCAAAATAGTGGTTTTCCTTTTGGTTTCTCTGAAACACCAACCTCACAAGGGTACACCAAACAAGACAAACCCATATTGCAAGTCTTTGGGGGTTTCTGCGATGCCCCTCTTGGCCAAAAACAACAGCTCAGGATTTCCGTGGGAGGGTCAGGGTCGGTTTAGCGGTTTCCTTTTGATTTCCCTTTACAACCACAACACAAGATCTCGATCCAACATGTCACCTTTGAAAATGAGGGTGAAAACCCTCGAAGCATTTGTTACCGGGCTTGTAAACCGATTCGACCAGCAATCCAAAAAGTGAGAGCTGGCCTCGGCTTGCTTGTACCAAGCGTCCTTCTCATCAATCTCTTTGAGCAGCTGTGTGTAGCAGTGGGCAGCGGTCTCCCCTGCCGCAAGATGCTTCTGAAGCTGCCTATAGATCTCCTCCATCCGATTTGAGAACACCATGAGCTTGTTGGTGAGTTCCCCGGCGTATTGGAGATCCTGAAGAGAGATGCTAAACTTCCTTGCTTCGGTAGCTGTCTTCAAAACCTCAGGCGCCCTTGCAGCTGCAATCTCATGAGTTTCCTTGGGCAGGGCCTCAATCGGCGGATCCTCCTTGACCTTCTTGGGCTTTGGTGCCTTTTTGGGCGCTGCTTCGCACTCACTTTTGGTGAGTGACTCTGCCAGCGCCTTTTGGCCCGCCGCTGAGACGCCAGCTATGCCAGGCACTGCGCCGCTTGCCAACGGGCCCAACTCTGACGTCAAGGCTCGGGTCAACTCCTCATCGGGGTTGGTGTCATTGACACGCACAGCTAGGCTTTCTTCTGTGGACTGATCCCGTCGCAGCAGGCCACCTTGCCCCACAAAGTAAAAGATCTCCTGGTCAGGGCAAACATGTGGTTGCCAGATGTTCGCGATCGAACTGTAATTTTCTTCAATTGAAGTCTCCGATTTACAAGAAGGAACCCCTGCCACTAGAGCAAAACCATGAGTCAGCGGCTGGGTTTTGCAGCGAGTGGAGGATTTAAACCCTCAAAGTCACATTGAATCATTGAGAGAAGGAACCATTCCACGGAGAGAACGTGCAAGGGTTGTGGCCAGCATGTGGAAATATACTCAATAGTACATCAAACTGTTTTTGAATTGAGGTGTAACAGTTGAGTCAGTGGCACGGTTTTTGTCTTGAGAGTGAGGGAGTGGGGTCATGATGGTTTAACTCAAACCAACTACGGTCCTCTTCATCCTGTGGAAAGTCTTCGTCGTACTCGTAAAGCTCTGCTGCCTTGAGGCGTTTGCAAAGCGCGTCGCCCTTCCTGGTGCTGCGCCGAGAAGGACCGTGTTTTTTATTCTCAGGGGAGGGACTACCCAAGACACCTGAACACAAAGAATGGACTTATGAATCAATCTGAGATTCTCTGCCCCATAGATCTCGATGATGTTCCGTTTCTTGGTGCCTTGCCGCTGTCGCCGGTGCAGTGTGGATGTTGCAGTGCGTCGCTCAAACGCCAAGCACACCCTAAGTTGCCATGCATTAGTTGTCATTTTGGCTGCCCGACAAATCAAAATAATGTTTACACAAAATGTGATGACTCAAAGCCAGAGCGCTTCTCCCAGGATCCCCCTGCGCGAAGCCACTCCTGAAACAAATCCAGTTTGGACTTGACAAACACCGGCGCGAGCTGCGTTGGGAACTGGCGCCGATCGAGACATTGTCGCGAAAAGGCATCCCACTCCCGCTTGTGAGTCTTGCCTTGGCAGGCGGCGCGTTGCAACATGAATTCTACTTGTCAAACAGCACCTGTTCGTTTTCTCTGAGTTTCAAACCTGTACCCCGTTGCTTAAAAGAGTGCTTGGATTCACCACCAGCTAGTGCAGAAAGGGTTCTCAAACATCCTCAAACAAGAAGGGTCAAGCTCGTGAAGGGCTTTGGGCAAAGTATCTGTTGCCAATGTCTCGCTACCAATGTAGGGGGCTTGGAAAGATAACCAACAGCAATGGTTTCAACTGTTTGTCACCCGCATGTAGGGGTTTGGAACAAGGGGCCTAATTACCATGCAGCGCTTTGGAAGCAAGATTTGCCCGAAAAAGGGTTTCGCTCCAATTCTAAAAGGCCAGGAGTTTAGAAGGGGTCATCAGCTTTCAAGAAACGTTCTCCACATCTTGCAACGCGTGTGAGGGGTCATCACTTGCTACTGCAAAATGTTTCCCCACTTTATGGGACACTTTCTTGATATGATTTCGTGCCAAAGTTGCTGTTTGCAAGCTTTGTCTTGTCCTCCGCCTCCGCGCTGCACCTCATCAAGGCCAACGTGTTGGCTTTAGACTTGCCCTGCTTCTTCTCCACGCTGGCTGGCGGATCCTCGCTTTCGCTGTTGTTGCCACCCTCACTCAAAGATGGTTCCTCTGCTTCGCCCTCAGAGCTGCAGGCCACCAACGCATCGCAGTCGCTCTCGCCAGCGCTGCCGCTGTCATCATCCTCGCTTTCTTCTCCTGATGGCTCTGACGCCACCTCCTCCTCAGCTGATGATTCCTCCTCAGCTGTCGCTTCCTCCCCAGCTGCTGCTGCTTTCTCCTGAGCCGGCGCTTTCTCCTGAGTCGGCGCTTTCTCCTCAGCTGCTGCTTTCTCCTCAGCTGCTGCTTTCTCCTGAGCCGGTGCTTTCTCCTGACCCGCTGCTTTCTCCTGAGCCGGTGCTTTCTCCTCAGCTGCTGCTTTCTCCTCAGCTTCTGCTGCCTCAGCATTGATCAGCTCGTTCATGCGCGCCTCCACCTGCTCGTCCAAAGTCTGCTGCGACTTCATGAGCAGGAAGTCCTCCAAACTCAAGCCTGCCTCCCGCGCATCCTCTATCGCCTGCTCAAGGTCAGCTAGCGAGGAGGGCAGTACCGAGCCACCCGTGCTTGTAGAGCCCTCGCTCATGAAGCTCATTTGCGACTCATTATCTTTGATCCTCTTTGCCGGGGGTGTGACAAAGCCCTCAGCATTTGCTGTCTCAGCCTCCTTCTCTGCTGAAGTCGCGCGCCTTGTCTGCTTCTTCTTCGCCTTCTCAGCTTCCTTAGCTGCCTTCGCCTTCTCAGCTTCCTTAGCTGCCTTCTCCTTCTCAGCCTCCTCAGCTGCCTTCTCCTTCTCAGCCTCCTTAGCTGCCTTCTCCTTCTCAGCCTCCTTAGCTGCCTTCTCCTTCGCCTTCTCAGCCTCCTTAGCTGCCTGCTTCGCCTCCTTAGCTGCCTGCTTCGCCTTCTCAGCCTCCTTACCTGCCTTCTCCTTCTTCGCCTTCTCAGCCTCCTTAGCTGCCTGCTTCACCTTCTCAGCCTCCTTAGCTGCCTGCTTGGCCTTCTCAGCCTCCTTAGCTGCCTTCTCCTTCTTCGCCGTCTCAGCCTCCTTAGCTGCCTGCTTCACCTTCTCAGCCTCCTTAGCTGCCTGCTTGGCCTTCTCAGCCTCCTTAGCTGCCTTCTCCTTCTCAGCCTCCTTAGCTGCTTGCTTCGCCTTCTCAGCCGCCTTAGCCGCCTTCGCCTTATCAGCCTCCTTGGCTGCCTTCGCCTTCACCTTCTCAGCCTCCTTCGCTGCCTTCACCTTCTCAGCCTCCTTGGCTGCCTCCTCTCTCTCTGCCCGCGTTGCCTTCTCATCATCTCTCGCTGCTTGCTTCGCCTTCTCAGCTTCCTTTGCAGCCTGCTTCTCATGCTCAGCAAGCTTTCTTTTCTTGCCAGCTTTGTCCTCGTGTTCCTCCTGTTGGGAAATGAACCGAGAGGGGCTCGGGTTAGAATCTATGCCACTTGACGAAGGTTCATCTGTTGCATGTTTGCTAAACATGTACTCGACTGCATCCCGAACTACAGGGACAAAGGTGATGGCGGGCTCGTCCTGCTTTTCCTTGTTCTTGGCCTTGTCCTTGTCAGCCTGTTGTCTTAGGGCCGAGGGCCTCTGTGATTCCTTCTTCTTTCCAGCCATTGCAGGATTCAGCCAGCTTCGCTCCGAGATTGCAGCTGGGGCAGGACAGCCGGCAGGAGGATCAAAGGGCTTATCGATCGCGAATGTTGGGGGGGAAGATTCACAGGGAAAATCAGCAGGGAAAATCACATTATCGAAATGATGATGGGCCCTGAAGCAGCTTTGGATCACCAATGTCTATCACCCGTTTGAAATCATGGGTGGAAGATTGTTGGGGGAACCTGGAACTGTATGTCACCCTGAAAATTCTTTGGGGAAGATTGCTTGGGGGGAACCCAATGTCCATCACCCTTTTGAAATCATTGGGTGGAAGATTGTTTGGGGGAACCTGGAACTGTTTGTCACCCTGAAAATTCTTTGGGGAAGATTGCTTGGGGGGAACCCAATGTCCATCACCCTTTTGAAATCATTGGGTGGAAGATTGTTTGGGGGAACCTGGAACTGTTTGTCACCCTGAAGATTCTATGGGGAAGATTGCTTGGGGGGAACCCAATGTCCATCACCCTTTTGAAATCATTGGGTGGAAGATTGTTTGGGGGAACCTTTTGGGATCATCAGGCTGCCTTTGGGATCAGCAGTATCTATCACCTTTTTGGCGTGGTGGGTGAAAAAAATGAGGGCCTTTGTTGGGGATCACCAATGTCTATCACCCTTTCAAATTTGGGAACGTGGAACTGTCTATCACCTTTGGGGGACCTGGCTTGAGGATCAGAAACTCTATGATGTGTTTTAGCATGGTGGGTGGACAGATTCAAATCACCAATGTCTATCACCCTTTTAGCATTTCAATTCATGGTTGAACTGGTCAACCCAGTGGTCTCCTTGAGATCCCGATGCACCCTTGGTCAATTCTTGACATATTGATGGAACCTGCTCGCATCAAAAGGTTTCCCTGAGATCCCAATGTGTCCTCGGTCAATCAGTTTCAGGGTCTCCCAACAATTTGCTTCTCAATACGGCGGTGTTGTCCCCCAAGCTTTTTTGAGATTCCAGCATGCCTCGGTTCTGAACTACGTCATGTCTTGATCTATTGATGTACCCTTCTGGTCTGGAGGTTTGCTTGAGAGGTCCATCAGTTCTGGGAGCCCTCAAAAGGATCTTTCATGGGCCCTGCTGATCTCAGACCCAGGTCAAGGTCCACCGAAAGAATCATAATCTTTGAGGATCCAGAAGCTGACCTTTTGTTTTTAGGGGGTCCGGGAAAATGATGGGCAATCTCTTGGGATTTTGGGGGGTCCTCCCAGACTCGGCTGTTCTCTCCCAGACTCGGCTAGTTCTCTCCCAGACTCGGCTGCCAATTTTCTCAAAAATGAAAAAATAAAAAAAAATAAAAAAAAGATAAACACGAATGATTCGACCCGGCTGATGTGACTCAGCTCCCATTCTCGGCTTAGAAGTTTTGGGCTCCCATTCTCGGCTGACATCTCAACCAACTACCCAAATGAAGAATTGACCCTTGCAACTCTTGGTGCCATCAACCGCCCTAGCTGGCATGACCCTTCCAGCCAATATTCAAAATGGATGTCTCAACCAACTGCCCTAATAAAGAACCCAACCGCCCCACCAGCTGGCATGACCTTTCCAGCCAGCCACCCTTTCCAATCAATATGGATGTGTCTACCTGGATGTAACCATTTGGTAATGGATACTTAGCCAATTCATATGGGCTTGTTTGTGGTTCTAAAGAGAAACCAAAAGGAGAACCACCCATTAGGGGGGGGGGGTGGTACACCAAAAAAAGCACACCCATATAGGCCTCTGGTTTTAAAGGGTCTTTCAGCGGGTTTGTTCGACATCGACAGCAGGAGTCCAAGGTCGGCGCCTTTCAGCAAGCTCTTGATGACCAGCCGCGGCATGCCTGCGAGCAAGCAGGACCGCAGGACCCTCAAACAAACCAGACACAACCCTCTCAGTTTCCCTTCATCCATTTTTCACCCAGAGCCACATCACAATCTGGCCAGAACAGCTCTCAGGGGAACCCAAGAAAGCTACAACTGAATGCACGGTGTTCCTTCGTGAATCTTGCATCAGTTTATGTGCGGTCCCCTGCTGCTTTGAGGCAACCAAGCCAAAACGCACATGGGAAAACCCACATAGCGGCTTGCAGTCCTGATACTTAATTAGCTGACATGGGCCGTCATGTGGGTGTGGCTAACAACAGTCAAACCCACGGCGCCCCAGATTTTGGTCTAGCTTTCCATTCAACTCACAAGGGTTCCATTTCGGGTCCTTTGAGCCACACCCACTTGAATTGCAAGAGCATCCTCAAAGCTCATTCCAGAAACTCCATAGCAGGGTTTGCCCGCTTGATGTAACCCCACCACATGGATGCGGCTAATCACCATCATAGCCAGGGTGCCCCATTGCATTCAACTCATGAGGGGTCCATTTAGGGTCTTCAGTTTTGAGCCACATCCACATGTGAATATTTGGCAAGAGCATCCTCGAAGCTCATGCCACAGACTCCATAGCAGGTGCCCGCTTGATCGAATCCCGCCACATGGGTGTGTCAGAGCAAAGGGTGCCGCAGATTTTAGTCTATCCTATCTTTCCATGTAACTCACAAGGGTTCGATTTCAGGTCCTTGGCTTTGAGCAACACCCACTAGAACTGTTGCAAGAGCCTCCTTGAAGCTCATACCATGAGATCCATGGCAGTGCCTGCCCGCTTGCATGTGGATGTGGCTAAAAACAATGATGCCCCAAATTTTGGTCTGGATGCATTTAAGTCACAAGGGTTCCATTTTGGGTCCTTAGTTTTGGGCCACATCCACATGTCACAGAGCATCCTCAAAGCTCATACCAGAAACTGGTTCAACCCCGCCATATGGGTGTGGCAAAAAACAGCCAGTGACAAGATACCGCAGAGTTCACTCAGCTTGTTTTTTCAATTTTGCTGTTTACAAGATACCACATCCACATGTAATGCTGTTTGGCAGCATTCTTGACGCTCATACCAGAAACTGCATGACACCGTCCAAGTCTGCCCACTTGATCCACCGGGCTGAGTCTTTCGAATTCAGCGAGCCAGGGCCTTGTTTCAGCCACCGCTTTCGAATTTTGCGAGCCTCACTCTGTTGGGATGCCCTCTGGCTGGTGCGGAGCTTTGCCAGGGATCTCCCAAACCTTGGATCACACGAGGACACCCTGCTCTGGATGACACTGCGGATGGGCCGGGGTGCCAAGAGGAAGACTGCCCCTTCTCCAAGCGATGGCTACACAAGGGGCTGGGCTTGCAACATATATTGGGGGGGCTTTTGAAATCAACACCCGCAAATTCCTTTGGAGCACATTTGAGACTAGTTGACAAGGCAAAGGGCAATCTGGGGTAGGCCTGACTCTTCTTCAGGTCTTTCCCCCCCTTTATCCGGTCAATGCCCTTGGTGTCCTTGTAATGGATGACCATCTCACATGGTTCGCGGTCACGGTCGACAGCAGGCAAGTGCCGCGGGGCAAACTGTTCCAGGTGTTCGATCTCCTTGCGACCTGAGATAGGTAGGGCTTCCCCACATCCTTATTTTCCACAGCTTACCTTACGGGGAATAAACTGTTACAATAACGGTTGCTAGGATTCAGCAAAAGGTTCTGCTGTAAAGCCAGGTGGGTTTTGCGCTGGGACCCCCATAGTCTAGCATCTTCATGCGATGCCGCCAGGCCCTCACGCGTTTCAGGAAAGCTTGAAACGGCGCATAGTGCTCCATGAGCGATCCTTGAGGTTGTTCCAACACCCACCAGCACTGCAAAGCGGCTGCGATCCACAGCAGAACAAGTGTTCGTGAACAAAGAACGTTGCCACTGTTTGTGGCGGGGAAACGAGGATCTCCGCCAGGGTTTCCAAGTGAACGGCCCGTTGAACCCCGCGACATATAAACCCAGGTCGAACAGACCGGAGCGGCCAATAGGCCGCTCCGGCCCGGCTTCAAGCGGCAAACCTGAAACAGCGAGTGGGCGAATCCCATGGGATGTAGCATGTTGTAGGCGTCCTCACCCATCTCTCCACTCTTTCCCATCTCCAAGTCGAGAGCAACCGCGCATCGGTTTTCCTTTCATGGCAAAACTATTGGGAAGCAATGAATCCAAGGCTAGCATCATGAAGTTTCCTTCCTTTTTTGCAACCCTTTCCAAGCAAACAACAAGACTTGTTGATTCCCCGTTGGGCTTCAACTGAAACTGCCACGCCTAAGAAAGGCTATGTTCCCTAGAGCATTTGACTCCTTGATCTTTGACACGGCCCACTTTGATTCCACTTTGAAACTGCCACCCCGTACAACATGTTGCTGGAACATTAGACCAAGTCAGAGAAGCGTGACACGCAGAACATTGATTACCAAGCAGCCTCCATCTCCCCGATGGATACCGACATTTGCCCAGCAAAGAGCTCAACATGGTCCAGCAACGGGGTGAAGACCAAGGGCTTGGCAAAGAGAAGCGACACCAGGATCGCAACCACCTCACAAGGGGCGAAGAAACAAGGCTTGATTTTGGGGCAACCTGTAGGTTTCAAAACTTTGCTTATACCGAAAAAGACCAACTAGCTGAGGGGCCGCAGGGGCACCTAGGGCTTTCAGCCCAGAAAGGATGCACTGTTTCTGCTTCTCTCTGGGGCTCCGCGATCCCCTCCGCTGAATCGCGAAGGTCGCTGCCGCTGCGCGCGATGCCTGCTTGACATCTCGCCGGCACACCATGCCGGGAACCTATAGCAGGGGCAAGGCCACTTGATTTTCAGGGTGTCAAAACGATTTGTGCCGGTTGCCGAGAGCTTGTTTGGTCCAAAGGGGAAACCAAAACCACAAGTGACAGCCAGACAACGAGCGAGCCAAAATCTCCAAAGCGGGGCGAATGCTTGCAACGGCCATGCATGACCCTTCAACACTCAAGACCTTTTGACCTTCAAGACGCCAAACCACTTGCTGTAGGAGAGACAATTGTTTGGTCCAGAGGGGAAACCGAAACCACAGAGAGACACTTGTTTGTGGTCCAAAAGGGAAACCGAAACCACAAGTGACAGAACAAACGAGCGAGCCGCAATCCCCAGAGCAATGTGATGGCTTGCAACGGCCACGCGTGACCCTTCAAAACCAAAGACCCTTTTGATTTTCAAGATGCCAAACCATTCGCGGTAGATGTGTGAGGGAAACACTGTTTTGATCTAAGGGGGGGAAACCAAAACCACAAGTGACAGCGAAACAACGAGCGAGCCTGAATTTCCAGCGCAGGGTGAAGGCGTGCAACGGCCTTGCGGGACCGGAACGCTTCAAAAGCCAATTGAATCCACTTGATTTTCAAGATGCCAAACACTTAGTCTAAGGGGAAACCCAAATCCAAGGCTGGCAGCGGCCATGCATGACCCTTCAACTTCAAATGCCCAGACCTTTTGATCTAAAGGGGAAACCAAACCCACAGAGAGACTCAGACGCACCGCTTTTCAACTCCACCCCAATCGCTCAAATTTGATTTACCCCAGAAACTAGAAGCATGCTCTCCACGATTTGCCCAACTTGTCATTTGCAGAACGATCCTGACCTTTGCAGCCAAAATGGCAAAATCATTTCCTAGTCATGGCAAGCACTAAGTGGAGAGCATGGTACCCAATCACGCAGTTGCGTGCACGCAAGACAGCTTCCCAGTTCTGGCAAGCTCGATTGCTTTCTGCAGAGCCAGCTCCGGGCCACCGTATTTCTTCCATGATACCTGCCCGCATTTTCCATTGGGCAGGCACCGTTTGACATAGTATGCCCGGTTTCGGAGCAGCACATCAACCAAAGCCACTTGGCTTTCATTGGGCTCATCGTGGACGCTGATGGCGCATGTGTACGAGTGGAGGCCCTTGTTTATCCTTGTTGCGGATGGAAGAGCGTGCTGCGGGATGCCCTCCAACGAGTATCCGTTGTATTCCTGGGGTGGCATGAGTGGGAACACTAATGTTGACAGGACAATTGGCGGCCAGTTGCAAAGGGGAACCTCAGAAACATATGATGCTTAGCAACAGACCCCATCGACAATTCACTATCGGGGGCCCATCCCAGTTGCCAGCGTTGATGCTTGGATTGACAAAAAAAAAGAACACAAGGTGGATCGGGGTGGCAATAAGAAGTACATGTTTTGTTTTTTAGCCACCGCCATATTTGGTGAACCCTCCAGCCCCGCGAGATCTCGAACCGATTTGCTAGCAAGTTGCTGTAGCGACCTCCTGGTCTGCATCAGAACTCCCCGGCGCTGCATCAGCGCCCCCCTTGACCGCCTTGACCTTTTTTGTGTGGCCGCGTTTAAAGGTCGCCCGCGGCGGGTTCTGCTTCTTGCCCTTCTTCGTGGCCTTGCCCGGGGCCCTGGACCGGCCAGGATCAGCCTTCTTCACTCGGGGTTTTGCCTCAGGGAGGCATCTCATGGCTAATGGCAGCGAAAGGGTTTGAAGGGGGAGCCAACACAACTTATTTTTTTGAACAGCCTGTGCTCCCACACAGCATGGGCCCACGTCATCCAGGTACTGCTTCACTGAGTTCAAAAATAAAGGTGGAGGCAAAGGTGGTGGTTTGATAGCCGCTGTGGAATGAGGCATTCGCACTTTCTGTTGGACACCCATCATGCTGAGAGCGCGTTGCAATGCATCCATATCCTGACAAACTTTCGCTTCTGTGTCATCAATTGTTTTTCAAGCTGAAATGTTTTGGTTAGTGCCCTTGTCCAGGACGCAAAAACAGTCATCAGCGTGTTCATCAAAACCCTTAACGTTTGGGTTTGTGAGCTCCAACAGATTTTGCGTGAGAGGCGCATGGCAGTATTGCCCCACGAATCAATCACCTCGTAACATGAGTACCCAGACTCAAATAGATTTGGAGGGGAGTGTTTCAAGGCGCCCTCCAGGCAACATTCGACTGTGTCACATTGAGTAGAAGGGTGCCAGAACGATGGCCCGACATCAACATGTTTCAAAGGGCATTTTAGGTGTCTAGAATGAAAAACACAGGGGTGCCCCCGCCAAGTCACACAGTCGTAGGCGGTGTCCACCTCCTCCTTTCAGGGTTCAGCGCAGGGTTCGGGCCAGTGTACATGCAGATAGGCATCAGAACGATTTTGCGTACTTAGTGTCAGGAACAATCCCACACTAACCCATTTTAGAAACCCATCATAGAAACAACTCATTTCACAAGCTCCTGGCGCGATCTCTTTGCCGCTTGCTCCGACTCTGCCACCACGTCGACGCAGCTGCGCTTGCGCTCCAACGCCGGCTTGGGAACGAGCACATACTGCGTCTCCATCGGCGCATTTTCTTCGCTGCCATCCTCGCATTCCGAGTCCCCACGCAAGGTCCACTCGCTCACGCAACTAGAATGAAAGCTCGAGTCCTCGTCTGAGCAGTAGCCGTTGCTGACCTTAAGCAACTCGTTCGTGTCAGCGTGGTCAGGCGCGGTCTGGTCAAGAAGCGGTTGGTCAGGAGAAGGTAGCTGCGTCTCATTGCAAGGCGTGCTGGGCGAAATTGCCACCACCGCGCGCGGGCTGTCACCCTGGCCCAGTCGAAGCGTCTTTTCGGAGTCCTGCGAGCTCGCCAGCGCCGCCTCGCCATCATCCTCTGCCTCCTCACCACGAACCTCCTTACCATCACTCACCTCCTCACCACCACTCACCTCATCACCACTCTTCTCACCACGCACCTCCTCACCACCCTCCTCATCACCACTCTTCTCACCACGCACATCCTCACCACCCTCCTCATCACCACTCTTCTCACCACGCGCCTCCTCACCACCCTCCTCATCACCACTCTTCTCACCACGCACCTCCTCACCACCCTCCTCATCACCACTCTCACTCTCCTCATCACTATTCTCCTCATCGCTGCTCGCAGGGGCAAGCCCTCCACAGCCATCCAGCGCGCCCTCATTGCCATCAGCCGCATCCTCGTCAGTGAGCTCTGCCTTGGGAACGCTGGTCACGCTCTCAAAGAACCTGTAATTCCTACCTATCTTTCTGCTAGTGATTGGTTTCCAGTGAAATAAGGCAAAACAGTTTTGCTAGATGCGCAGTGCCACCGAGTCCTCAGCGCTTGCACTTGTGTCGGCGTCTCCCAAGGAAGATCCCTTCGACATCCTGCGGGCCTTAGTTTTTTTAAGCATCTTCAAGGTGACAAGTTGCTGTTTTTGGTAACTCACCTTAGTAGGGAGCGCTTTCGCCGAGTAACCTTTGAGGAAGGTGAAGGTCTCAGAAGTCCTTTGAGTTCGGCAACTTTAGGATCTGGGGATCCAGTTCCTTGGGTAAGCAGTAAATCAGTCGCACCCGCGCACGCGTCAGCAGCAGTTAACTAAAACTCAAAGCGTTAAGTAACAGCCACGTGTCCGTTTCGGAACAAGTAGCGAAGTGCGGACAGCAGCTTGCGGATGCGCCCGGCTTCCTCTCCTGCTCGCTCAGCGCGGCATTTGTCGGTGTGCTGCAGGAGGTTGCCAGCAAATTTCTGGTCGAGCCGCTGCAGCACGTCAGCGATCAGAAAGACGCTTGGCGCCTTCTCCGGAAACTGCGAGGCCCAGATCCGAACCCACACATAGTTACGCGACAACTCCTGAGCAAGGGAGCGTCAACACAAAACAACTCAACCCTATAGAACCGGCGCTTGCATTGGGTGTCAGCCGAACCGTGCGTCCTTATATGTTGGCCGCGCCAATGCGTTCGGGAGATAGACAAGGTCTCCGCCACGGAAGGACTCGTCCCGAATCAAACGGCACGCGCGCTCGGGGATGAGCTTCATTTGCTCCACTGCGAGTTGTTCCTCAGTTTTTTGTTTTTTTCGTAGCTTTGAAGGCTTTGACACACCCAGTGATCCCGTTTCCCTGTATAGTAGGTAGCCAATAGAACCACCCTTACAAGATAAGTAGCTGGCTGTTTGCAGTGGTTGCCACCCGCAAGTCAAAATGCATTGCTGCTTAGGCTCTACCTGCTCCTCCGTCCAAGGCACTTTGCCATGACCTAGGCTTTTGTTGAAACATTAATGCAAACTTGGCTCACCTCCTATCTCCCACACCCAACTGTATGTGCCGCCAAGGCCACGCACGCTCTTCCACGCTGAAGCCGCTTCTGCGATGAAGCTCATGGCCCCGCAAAGCGCGCGGAGCTCGAAGACCAATCCGCGTTGAGCCCAGGCTGAGAGCGCACACTTAAAACCTGACCCCCTTTTGGTTTAGCAAGGTTGCTGCTAAAAGACACTTTTGTCAACCATTGGCCATTGCTACAGTGGACATGGGATCGAACACTGATTCTGATTATGTGGATGGGAGTCCAAGCAAAAAAAAGGCTCAGGATTCTGCAATGCAAACTCAGGGTTTTGGTTTTTGGGTGCCGAAAGCAAACCGATGGAACACCATGTTGGATTCGCCCGCCACGGGATAGGGGGTGGTTGGATTGATGGAAAAGCCGCATAAATACTGTTCTGACCAAACTGAAGCTCAGGATTCTGCTTTTTGTGCCCAAGCAAGGTTGGAAAATGCCGCCACGGGATAAGGGGCGCTTGGATTGATGGAAAAGGCACATATGCTGTTCTGACCAAACTGAAGCTCAGGATTCTGCTTGTTGGTTCCCAACACAAACCGATGACCCTTTGTTGGATAGCCCGCCATAGGATAGGGGGATTCCGCTTTTTGGTGCCCAACACGAATTGATGGACCACTGTTGGATACGCCCGCCACGAAATAGGGAGGCGCTTGGATTGATCAACAAATGGAAATAGCGTTATGACCTTTTGGTGCCCAACACGAATTGATGGACCACTGTTGGATACGCCCGCCACGAAATAGGGAGGCGCTTGGATTGATCAACACATGGAAATAGCGTTCTGACCAAAATGAGTTGGGCGACTCATGAAAATAGCAAGGCTTCAATGCGACAATCCCTTTAGTTTTCAAATAAGTACGAAGCGTCTGAGCTGCGGAATGAGAAGCAAATCAGAAGCATCAGATCTACGACGGATCTACGAATCTACGATTGCTGCACGCAGCATGCAGTGCAACATGTACTACAGCGTCCGGTTGCACGTTGACAAGAACTTGCACGGGCCGTCTCATATGGTCGCTTTGGGCGCCTACCCGGGCGGAGAGCTGTGCGGACCAATGACTTGCAGCTGCTGGCACGCGCTGTTCAGACCTTCGATGCTTCTTTTAAAGGATCCAACCCCCAAAAAAAATCTTTGAATTAACGGTAGTTACTATGGATCAATCCAAAGGGACCCCACCCAGTAAGACTGATGGCCTGATGTGGGTTCAATCAAAGGGCCCTCCCAACAAGATAGGTTTTCTGAAGGGGATGTGGATGCACCCAAAGGGCCTTACGAAGGCTTGATGTGGAATAATTTTTTGTTGCCTCCAAAAAAAGACCAAAGGAACATTTGGTCGCCATACTGAACAATTAACAAGATAGGTTTTCTGAAGGGGATGTGGATGCACCCAAAGGGCCTTACGAAGGCTTGATGTGGAATAATTGTTGGTTGCCTCCAAAAAAAGACCAAAGGAACATTTGGTCGCCATACTGAACAATTCATCGGACCATCTCTCTTTTCTTTTTCTTTTTTTGGGGGGGGGGGTGGTGGGGGGTGGGGGGGTGGGGGGGGGGGAAGGGGAAAATCGAATCCCCACATGGACCCGGTGCCTCCACGAACACGAAGGGCTCGAGCGCCACGCCAAGGCCATGCGACCTCGTGCGGGCTGACAGGGGCAGTTTCACCCTTAGGCCGCACCTGGGTATGGGTCAAAATTAAACCACAAGGGGACCGCAGGTTGTAGTCTACTTGTCCAGTCACCAGGGTCGGTTTTTTTTGACCACGCAGCCACCTGGGCCCCCCTGCGTTTCAGCCACAGCTTGAGCCATCATTGGAGCCATCATTGGTCTACGTGATCTCCAAAAAAAACATTGGCTTATGACTTTCCAATGGTCATGAATCCCCACTAAAAGAAGGGACTTTATAAACCAACCATGGGCTTCTGAATCCCGGGTTCCTCCTGAACCAGTTGCATGGCGGTTTATCTCGCTATGTAAGTGTGTCCTTTTTGAGGGACCTTCCAACTTGTTTTTTTGGGGTTCCCGTGAAAAAACGCCACCTTCAAAACAAACAAATCCAATGGTTTCCTTTTTTGGTATCCCCTTTACAAGGTGGCACCAGGTCCCAAAAAGGACCCCGCCCAGCTCCCCGCTTTCACGCCCGGCCCGCGTGCAGAGCCGGCCGACGCGGGCGAAGTTTCCATGGAGGCAAAAGCATGTCGCCTGCGGCGAGGTTGTAGCGGCTCCCTTGTAAAAGCACTGCCCTTCCAGAAATAATTTGGTTTACAAAAAAGAAGTAAGGGCTTTCTTTTGTGTTTCTCTGAGGTCGACCTTGTAAACATTACCCTTCCATAGGAAAGAAGTCTGAGTTGTTGTTTCGAAGAAAACAATCTACTGAGATCTGGTTTCCGGGGCCAGACCCTTGCAGAAAACAATACTCTTCGATGGGATGGGTCGAAGCAAATAAAGTTGATGTTTTTTGGGGGAGGGGGAAGAGACTGATCCTTAGAGTGAGACACGAAAGTCTGCTGAAAACACAATGCCCTTGCGTGGGCTGGCGGCCCTAGAAAATAACACACATTACCCCTGTAACAGAAACCAGCAATCCATAAACAACAACAAAAACCCACAGTACGTTTGCCACGTGTGGTCTAAGTAACCCAGATCCACATCCCCTCGCACATTTTCTTTTGGGGTGTTTCAGCAACAACAAGTTAAAACACAAACGCGCGAAAGCTCAAACACTGAAACGTTTTGTTCATGCGGCTCAAGTTTACAGCATCTCCCGCGCAGCATAATGCTGCATGCTGGCAAACCCTGCAAGTAAGCGCATGCAGCGCAAGGCTCAAGTTTACAACATCTCCCATGCAGCATGCTGCTGCATGCTGGCAAAGCGCGCGCAAGTGCCAGGCTCAAGTTTACAACATCTCCCACGCAGCATACTGCTGCGTGCTGGCAAAGCCTATACTCGGAAGCGCGAGGCTCAAGTTTACAACATCTTTCGCTTCCAACGCTGCTGCAGGTATATAAGCGTGTGCAAACAAAGCGCTGTGTGAGACAAGCGGGTTGCTTCCGGGCGTTGGACAAAGAGCAAGTCGAGGCACGACCCTCGCAGGCCTTGCGCTGCACGTTACACATGGCGCACATTGCTCGGTTGGCCGAGAGCTGTCGTGGTTCAACGAGAGCTGCAGCTCTTGTTGAGCTCGCAGCCGTACACTGTAGAGCTGCGGAGCGTATCGGTATGGTGACCTCACCCCCGATAGGGGGGAACACAGGCGGTCGCGTGAGGAAGTCAGGTTGAACGTGACCATCACTTTCTGCTTGAGATGCGCGGAGATGACGCCTAATGGGATGCATTTGTGCCCCGGGTGCGCACTCCCAGTGTTCTACCCGAACTTCATCCCCAACGCAGACGAAAATGACTTCGAGAGATGTGCCATCGTCCCGGACTGGGTGAAGAGTATGAGGCAATTTAAGCCCAAGAGGATCCCAACCGAGGTGGTCGGAGTTATCAGGAGGAATTTGATTTCCTATTCGATGGCGTCTGACCTGAGGATGACGGTGCAGAGCGGCATCAGACTGCCCCCTTATCTTGGTGAGGACAAGGGAGGAGTTGATGCGGCGTGGGATGAGCTGGCGAAGGTGCTATTTCAGTTCTCCTATGTGTCTGGGATTTCGGCCTCGGACGCGTTCGTGGAGAAGTGGGTGGCGAAGCACCTCATCAAGACCAATCAAGTCGATAGATTTGATTCGGTCACTGAGTATTTCCGGGCAAATCCGATTCATGCGGCCCAATGGGGTAGGCGTATGACGACTTCCGTTAGGAAGTTCGCCCGCCACGACACTTATCTGTCTTTCTATATCCCAATGGCGTACGTGATTGGTGCTGCGGCTGGTCATCTGACTCCCTTGTATCCGACCCACAGGAAGGATGCAGACATACTGGCTAGCCACGTCTTGATGACGGATCTCAGGAACTACATGGTCTCGGCAACAGGATACGACGAGAAAAAGAGATTGAGGGAGGCGGTAGCCAAAGTGCAGAAGGCAATCAGTGCTGGGCAATCAGAGCCTCCTGCTCCCTTCCGTGATCCGTTCGTCTACGTTAGTGACGAAAGGGTGAGGACGATTCTTGATGGTCGTCAGCCGGAGCCGCTGGATGTGAACGTTGAAGAGCTCCAGTCGGTGCATCATGCTGCGCAGGGTCCTGGTCCGAAGCAGGAGCCGATCGTCAAGGGCGGGAAAGGAAAAGGAAAGAAAGGAGAGAAGGGCGGTAAGGGCGGTAGTCCTTCCGGCCCACCACCAAAGTCAGGTGAAGCGCCAGAGAAAGGGTCTGGTAAGGGCGATAGTCCTTCTGTCCCACAGGCAAAAGCGAAAGCTGATGCAGGGCCGGCTCCGATGGAGGTTGATACCCCTGTGGCTCAACCAAAGAAGACTTGGGTCGCGATAGCGGTTGAAGGAGCCCGGCCAAGTGCAAAGGCAAAGATGACTCCGGTCCCAAAGGCTGAGCCGAAGGGAAGGGCTGCCTCAGTGACTGAGGCGAAGAGTGCTTCAGCCCCGAAGGCTGAGCCTAAGGGGACGAAGCAGGCCGACCCGAAAGTTGAAGTCAAGAAGGAGAAGGTAGGCGGTGCTGATGCTCCCGGCGGTAGTCGAGGCTCAGCTGAAGGGCAGAAGAGAGAAAGGAAGTCCCGTTGGGATCCTGACGAGACTGTGAAGGAGTCGACGAAGCGGGAGGCATCGACAAGGCCTGATGACGTTGACAGCAGACCAGGTGCGGCAGCTAGAGAGGCTAGTGGGGATGATCTTCACTCTGCACTTGGTAGGTCTTCGGCAAAGGACGCGGTAGCACCTCTGACGGCCTCCAAGGCAATGGCAAAGAAGCCTGAAAGTGGGGAGGTCAGGTTGCAGTCGGCTGAACGAATTGCGGCGAGTCCGGTAGAAGGTCACTTTCTAGCGCTGCCTGAGAGTTCGGTGGTGGACGCTCTCCTGTCGGTTTCTACCAATAGAGTGCTGAACAGGCAGGTCAGGGAGTTCATCAGAAATGGTGAAGAAGCTTCAGCACTGGAGGCTCTCAATCAGATCGTGACGAACTCTTGTTCTGGGAGGAGACGCAGGGACTCGGACGTCTCCCGCACTCCATCTCGGAGGTCCGTTAGGACCGTGGACTCCAGGGATTCCCGAGAATCGAGAAGGCGCAGATACCGTCCGCGGCGCGAGGATGATCGTGACCGGAGGAGGGACGATGCTCGAGATCGTCATGATGATGACTCACTCGATCGGGAGCGGGATCGAAGGCGAGATGATCGCAGGAGATCCGAGAGGGATCGTGATAGAGACCGTGCGCGGGGCGGACGTGACCGGAGGAGACGTGACGATAGCCGATAGGCTGGGTCACGAGGATTGCGGCCGATAGGCTTGCGTCCGTTCTCCGATGGTTGGCGCGGTGTGGAGATGGTGATGCTCCTCCCGAACCGCTGAGGCGCGGAGATCATGTCTCTCCCGTACCGCTGCTGGGCTGCTGGTCGTGTTCATCAGGAAGCAGTGTGAGTGAGAGGGAAAGCAAGCTAATGGGGGGTTACTCCCGGGTTTGCGGAATTCAAGCATTTTTCAGGTACGCATGGTCAGGAGTACCTCTTGCCGATAGGCGAGGGTACTAATGGACATACGTTATCTTTTATTTCATGGCTTCTGATAAGAATTAAACTTCTTGCATTGCTGATGCAAACAGTTGTGGCCTAGTGTCGTCACGTGGACTCTTCCACAAGGTGTGTTGGACAGCGTTACCCCGATTAATTCGGGGTGGTGGCGGGAATTTAATGCCCGGGATGTCGCGCAACTGCCTTTGTGGGTTTGCTCCACCGCTGACGGCGGTAGTGTCCAGCTGTTTGCGGACGCATGCGAGCAGTTAAATCCTATCAGTAAATGGCACGCTCCACCCGTCATATGACGGGCTCCTCGTGAGGGGGGTGTGATTAGCCATGGTTCATTTCATCATCAGGGATGTCGCGGTAGTGACTGACCTGTGGTGTTTGGCTCAAGATTTTGGGTTCCGTCGCGCCTCGAATGGGCGTCGCCGAACCCCTGCGTCGACCGACGGCATCTCGGGGGAGAAAGAGACCTCGGGCCGCCGCCAGGTTGGTAGGGACCAGTCGTGCGGCCTGTTGTCGACCAAGGTTGCGGGTTAACCCTTTTCTTGTTTGGTTTGTTTTCCTTTGGTTGTTGTTCTCTGGTGTGTGGGAAACCCTGATCTTTGGGACCGGGGATTGGTTTGCTTTTGGGGAACCTTTCTTTTGTGGCTTGTTTACCCCAACTTACCCATTGCCTGGGCACAGGCTCGTGCCCGAATCACATTGTTCAATCCCCTTTGTTGGGGGGATTCCCTGTGACCCGTGTTTTTCCAGAACGCATGTCTCAGGTGAAGAGCCAGCTGCAGGACGTGGTCCGCGTGTGGCAGAGCCGCGACGCCTTCGCGGCGCTGCGGCGCGATGGCTCCGTGGTCACCTGGGGCGAGCGCGAGGCGGGCGGCGCCTCTTGGATCCAAGGCGCGGTACCCATGGATTTTGCATCTTACCCCAAGGGGCGATGGGGGGTGGGTCAAAACCAATGGTACCATTTTGGGGTAGGTGCACCGCCCATTTTAGTCTGATTCAGTGGTGATTTGGGATGTTCACTGGGGGTAGGAGATCTTGACCCATGGCCATGGGGTACTTAGGAAGTGGGTAACCATGGTTGTAACACAATTGACATGGTTCTGAGTCTTCGTGTGGATTACACCGCTCACTAATTACCCGTTCCGGGCTGGCCTTCAGGTGGTCCCAAGGTTTCAAGGCTCCCAAAATGCATGGTGGTCAGATTCGA